GCGCACGCGCATGTGTGTGTACTGTTGTGTGGATGTAGTCGGGTGAGGAGGGCGGAGGGAGTTGTGTTGGCGAGAAATCGGAAAACCGGCAGTACGGTTTCGGGCGGCAAGAAAAGCTTCACGGCATGGAGACCACGCCCATCACTAGACACGGCTACATCATCACAATGATACAATGATACAAGGCACCACCTGCAGAGGTCCCAGGCAGCCAGCAGCAGGCTGGATCGTGGAAGAGGCGACTGCGACACCGGCACCACCACCACCACTCCATCACCATCACCAGGGCCTCCACGGACAGGCACGCACCTGTGCATCCGTCATGTTGGCTATATCTGGCGCCTCCTCATAAAAGTCCTTGGCGAAGGGCGCATACATCTGGGTGCTGTGGTCCAGGGGAGCCAGAGACTCCACATTGCGGCGACCAGCACCACCACCGCCACCATCCTCCTCGCCAACATCACCGCCGTCACCGTCCTCAAGCGCTCTGTTGCAGCAAGGCAACGTCGCAGTCGCAGTAGCAGCAGCACACAGCAGCAACGGCAACAGACAGCAGTAGCAGCGACGGGTGCAATCAGCCTTGACAAAAGCGGCAGAACGATGCTAATCAGCTGATAGGGGGGAGGCGGACACGTTTAAGAAGTGTAAGGACACGGCATGAATGTGTGACTGCGGCTTTCCCCCTAGCGGGTGACTCCGTTCCCCCCCTGCCTAAGCAAGGTCTCACTTTGCAGTGGCGTACACCTCCTCGTCGCTGTCGTACCCGCCGCCCGCTGCCGCCGCGGCCGCCGACGCCACCTTGGGCTTGCGCACCTAGAGGAGGAGGACCCACACAAAGCGTGTTCGCTTCCAAACGGATTGATGAAGGTCACCGTTGTGCGTCCAGTGGTCACATCAGCTGTGCGCACCAAGCCAACCACCAGCACCTTCGGGGACGTGCGGCTCCTTTGTCACAGATTGCAATTCCAGAGAGGGGCATGGGTAATGGAAGGGCCATGAACGACAAGGGCCGGGTCGAGGGCCTCTGGGAACTGAGCGTAAAGCCCTTAAGCATGCAAAGCCGCATGAGCAGAACCGGAATTATGAGCTCAGGGTAGAGGGAGTCTAGGCCGGCGTTGGCCGAAGAGTGGTGAGCTGATGGCGCCCCAGGCCTCCGACCTACGCACCCAAAGCTCCTTCCCATCCCCCGACCCCACCCCAACCTCCACCCCCAAAATGCACCTCCATGTACTCCGTGGCGGGATCCGCCTCCTCGTCACACGCCAATGCCTCGCTCTCCACCCGCGGCCTGGCCGTGGGCTTATTGGCCGCCACCTCCTGATCGATCTCCGCCATGAAGGCATCCAAAGGGTCATATTCGTCATCCGCCCCGGCCGCACCCGCCGCCGCCACCGCCGGTGGGGGCGGCGGCAACGGTGCTGCTGCGGCTACGATCCCTGTCCCACGGCCGTGCCCTCCCGCCGAGGGCCCCGCGCCGCGTCTCCCGGCGGTCTGCTGGGCCGCTGCGGCCTGCTGCTCCAGTTGCTGAGCAAAGTCCGCCCGTTCCCATTCCTCCAGGTCCTCGTTGCCATTCCCCCAGATGTCTCCGCCGCCGGCATCGCCAACCCCACCGCCATCTTTGTCCTCCGAGGGCTTCACCGCCGGCCCCGTGTTAATCTCCACCTCCACAGCGCGTTCCACCTGCGTCAACCCGCCGCGGCGCGGGCGGCGGTGTCAAGAGCTCAGGACTCCCCCAGATGGATACTGGAACAGAGAACCAGCCCAGGCTCCAACACCCGGTGATGGCTCAAGACACAATAGTTGTGCTGAACCTGGTTGGGTGGATCCGACAGGTACCCCGGGGCTTTTAAGGCAAGTCCAGAGCCAGAAAGGGGTGAAGCTGCAGCTTTGTGCTATGCCGTAGCTGCTGGGGACATGGGCAGGATGAGAACCCTAGCCGGGGCCCGTGGTTCAGTAGCGGAAAGCGCCGTACCAGTTGCTCGAAGGTTTGGCAATCATCGTAGTCGCCGCCCCGACGATCCAGGAAAGACTTGATTGTATCGGGTGTCCATTTTGTGAAATCTGTGCTAGAGATCGGCTGAAGGGGGATGGAGGTGCATACGTGTCAGGGGTTCCTCCGTCTGATCTCTGTGTGCCAGGGGCCCCCACACAGCTAGGTTGTTTTTGCGTGGCGCAGAAAGGGAGCTACATGGCAGTGGCCCCAAACCATTGTGCAGGATGGAGGAGCACTAATGTGCGCTCGACGCCAACACTGTGCGCCGTTCACAGTCGACGTATAACTTTACTGACCGTGTCGTAGTCATATGATGGCTGTTGAAACACTTTTGGATCATTGTACTCTCTTCCCGGGTCCCGCTCTGGCCGGCTCTGCTTAACCTGGAATTCCGCTACTGCGCTATGATAAGGAAATTTTCGTTTTTGACCGTAGTTATCCATTTTTATACAATTCGGCTAACCTGCAGGAAGGAAATCGTTAGCACTGACTTTCAGTTATGCGTTACAAGCTAGCCTACAAAGACATTTCAACAAATATAGAGAGGATTAGTGTTTCGTATTCGATGGTTGGTCTGGGAGTGCAGACCTGACGCTGCCTGCCGCTCCAGAACCACAAGAGTACGGCATAGCGCTTAGCACGTCCCCATACGGGGGGCTCAAAAGTGTAAAGTTTTCATGCGGTAGCTGAGCTGCATCACACATAAACTGAGCTATTAAATTCAGCAGCCGTAAATGCTTAAGGGCACCGCAGCTTGAACCGGTGCTCACTGTGGTGGTTGGCGACCTCAACCACCACAGTTGATGTCGCCAAACACCAGGTTAAGCGAGTACGATGAATTCCCACGAGGCATTGTGGATTTCACCCACTCCAGGAACGTGTAACTGGTTATACTGCTAGTAGTGGCCCCCCATTGCCCCAAACCTTCACCAAGGACTGCTATCTTTCCGCCGTGCTGGCCATGGGATGAACCGTCGTCCTGCAATCTCTATGGGTTTATAATCCACCCTTTGTGGGAGAAAGCATAATGACGCTTCCAGATAAGGTCCCATAGTAGCGGTAACAAATGGTAAGGAAGGAGCTTGCGGGAACGGACTCATACTCCATCGTTATCAGCAGCAGTTAGAAGCGTCAATCCTAGAGCTGCGGGGCCCCAGGTCTGTGGATTGGCTTGACATTCGCGGGAAAGGGCAAGGGAAGTCACGTCACGTGTGCTTTGGATGCTTGCCAAACTGCTACCATATGTCGCGGCAAATTACCGTTCATTTAGCTTACGACCTTATGGGCGCGGGGGATTGTTTTGGAAATTTGCAAACTAACGTGCTATTCGATGAGTATGAATTGTGGTAATGAAGCTTGCTCGGGGCTTGCCCTTGGGTCGCACGGCACTCACTGTCCTAATTTAACCACTGTCCAAAGCTAACCGCTATTTAAGAGGGCGAGAAAGGTCGCGTGTTGCCATCGCCTCAGCAGCAGCACGAGAAGAAGGTACCGTTGCGGTTTCCCTCGCATGCAATCCTGTCACTGAAATTAGCTTTGATGCTCGCTGTGCACTCTGCTGCCATGGAAAAGAGGGGAAAAGTTAGATGTGTATGCTCCGCTGGCAGGACTGACGGCTTCTGGTGGCTGCCTTTTATACGCAGATCCCAGCCCGTATGGTTCATGTGCCAATAACGGCCCAGTCACATTGCAATGGTGGGAAGAAGAGGGAAGCTCGAGGGCTGGCGGATTGCCATGAGGGGGTGCAACATCGATGTCAACGTACGCAATCACCGACATTTCTGCTTCCGGCCACTATGAATCACCGTTGAGTCACTTATGGTATTTGGGTTGACTGGGAGACTGCGGCGGGTGTCAGGCGTCCTTAGGGGACTATACCACGTAGAGATCCAGCGCGCTTTTGGCACATTCCTAGTCTGCGGTCGTCTCGCCAAGTGGTCCGGAATCTGTCCGCTACGTTCCTGCGCTGGGACTCATGGTCAGGTGCTGGGTCCCAGGACTGATAGGGATATGCATATGGAGAGTGATTGGCTGAACACTGGTGGTTCGGGCTTTGAGGGAAAAGGAAGTGGGAGGCGAATCACGGGTTGGCTTTCGGTTGTCCCGACCCCCAATTCACCAGTTATATTCAGTCGCCCAGCTATCGCAACATGTACCCACTTAGTCTATCTGATGCAACATCTGGCCCCTACCGAGGTTTTAAGGACTTTCTTGGGTTCGCCTCGTTGTGGTCGCTAAAGCACTTAACATGTTAACCTTAATATGTTATTTAAAGAAATCGGTTGTACAGAAAATCAGGTTCCCCGTTAGGGTGCAAACACTGTGATACTATCCCGTTTCAGCGATCGCTATGTTCCAAGATTGTCATGTTCACACTGGTGGCACAATTTCATACTTTCTAAAGCTGAATACTTCGAGAGGTTTCGCTTGCCGGCAAGCTGCAACCTATTGGAACACAACGACTGGTCGTTGTACGGAGGACATTTTGGCGGGGGGGAAAATCGGGTAACTCAAATCTTCTTTTGCTCTCACGCCCACGTCGTTGAGTCTGCAGGAAAGGTGCTTGATACTTCCAGCCTTACCAATCATACATGCCTTCGTAATCAGGCAACAAGTTCGAAGACTGCTGCTACAATCTGTGCTTGAGTCCAGGTCATCCTGCTAGCAGTGCGAGTCAACTGTAACATCAGCACCAGGAATTGCGAATTATTGGGGCGATTGTTATAAGCAAACTGACCTGAAAGAATGCAAGCAACAAGTCCAGCAGCTGCTTCACCCCGCCAGCCCACCCTGCTCCTTTCTGCTGGGCAGCGAGTCAGGTGGGAAGCTAAATCGCAGAAGTTGCAGCAATCCTTTCAATTTCGTGCTGAATCTCAAAGCGCTTCGTTGACATGGCTTTGCATTGGCGCAGGGGCGGGCCTGCTCAGACGTCTTCTCTAAGGCTAATCCAGGTTTGCACTACTGTTCCGTTCTAAAAGTCTGGATTTAGCAGAAATGAGATGACCTTCCGTCGCAGGGACCGGTGACTTGCGGCAGGAGTTGCCCCTTTGCTAGCAGCCGTGGACGCCACTTTCAGAGCCGGCGATCCGTCAAGGTTACTGCTTTCCAGGAGCCCGAGGAAGAGGGCTTTACAGCCTCGCCAAACGACATGCAGGAAGCTCGGATTATTGTAGTCACGTCCGGAAAGGGTGGAGTGGGCAAGACAACCACCTCCGCCAACCTTGGCATGTCGATTGCGCGTCTCGGCTACAAGGTCCGTTCCCATGGACTTTCTGGTCGGGATCCCTGTGTGTTTGGAGGGGAACTTAAGGAGGTCTCTCTCAGCGCCACAAAACGGACCGTCGAGGCCTTGTGCGTCCGCAACATACAGCAACAGGGTTAAGGTTTCGTTGTGCGCCTGAACGCCTTGGCAAAGGGGTGGAGGGGCAGATGGAGGAGCTTAATCCAAGAGAGTGTTTGCTGATGCGAGCTGTCCAGTGCGATAGAAGCCCGCCGGGAAAAGCCTAACTTCGCAACGTATTTCCCCGTAACACCCGAATCCACTTTGTACATGACTGTTTTCTGTTACAGGTATGCCTTATTGACGCTGACATCGGACTGAGGTGAGAGCAGCGCCGCTCATTTTGCATGTCATTGCGCAAGCCGCGGAGCATGAAGCAGACGCGCAATGAAAGTTGGCCTTGGTAACTGTAATAACTGCATGCTGCTGGGTGCACCTTTTCACTTGGGTTGGTGTTGGCGTGGTCCTTGCATTTCACTCCACAGGAACCTGGATTTGCTGTTGGGTCTCGAAAACCGTATCCTATACACGGCTATCGACATCTTGGACGGGGAGTGTCGCCTGGACCAAGCCCTCATTCGGGACAAGCGCTGGAAGAACTTGTCGCTACTCTCAATGAGCCGTAACCGGCAGCGGTGGGTCGTGCGTCATGTAGCCACTGTGCGTGATCATCGCAAATTGCGTGCGTCGGCTTTGTCCAGCAATTTTAAAGAGTTGCACATCCACGCCTTACTAAATTCCAGGACGCCTTATTGTGCTACTATTTCCATAGCACCAAAGCCTTTAGTACAGAGTCACCGTCCAATCCACACGTTGCAGCATCCTTTATTGGGCTTGATTCATCTCCGAAATACATCTCGCGGTGACGTGTACAGACGGTTCTTACACGCGCAGCCGCGCCGGTGTGTACCGTATGTACATTTTTCACCATGGTGTCGGTGGCCACATGCCCCTCCCCCACACTTTGCCTTCTTCCTAGGTACAATGTGACGCGCGCACATATGGTTCAATTGTGCGAGGCGATTATCGCACTGGGCTACCAATTTATTATCCTGGACTGCCCGGCCGGCATTGACGTGGGCTTTATCAACGCCATCTCGCCAGCCAAGGAGTCCCTGATTGTCACGACGCCGGAGATCACGTCAATCCGGTGGGTGCACAGGGTCATTATTGCTGAGACGTAAGCGCTGAGCTAATGTGCAGGTCGTAATTGTGCGTGTATAAATAACCTGACAGCTGGCCCGTGGACCCGCCCTTCCCCACCCACGAACGCTGTTGGCCGACCTCAATTCCTATGCGCATCTTGCAGGGACGCTGACCGTGTGGCTGGCCTCCTTGAGGCTAACGGGATCTACAACGTTAAGCTACTGGTTAATCGGGTTCGCCCCGATATGATTCAGAAGGTAACGTCACTTTGTAAAGGACGGGTATTAGCACAACCGATGTTCAATCGCTTGTACTAAGAGGGAGGTTAAATTCTAGTTGTGACCACCGTAATCGTTACTTTCACCACTGACTCGCATTTCCCTTTTTGGTTTTTAAATTTCAGAACGACATGATGTCGGTGAAGGACGTCCAAGAGATGTTGGGCATCCCGCTGCTCGGCGCCATCCCAGAGGATCCCCAGGTAAGCGTTCAGCCACTTTGTAGGCATGCACCATGCAAAGTTATTCGCTGGAGAGCCGTTCGTTGCATTAGTCATGTTGAGGTTTTTAGGTCTCCACCCTTGTACAAACCTTTGTTAACAACCGATTCCTAAACTTACAGATAACTCCACTCTCTGCCCTGTTGTCCCACCGAATCTATCGCTTGACAGTGATTGACGCCCATGGATTCCTGTATGCACCCCACGCCGCGCTGCAGCCCTGTGTGTGCCTTGCCCAAGTGACTCGACCCATCCGGACTCTCTCCTATGTAGGTGATCATTTCGACAAACCGCGGCGAGCCTTTAGTGCTACAGAAGCAGCTGTCCCTCAGCGGGATCGCATTTGAGAATGCTGCGCGGCGGCTAATTGGGAAGCAAGACTATTTCGTGGATCTGAACAACCCGCATAAAGGGTTGTTCCAGAAGATCGGCGAAATGTTCAGCAACTGATGCAGTGTGTGATTTCTATTATACTTGTTTATGCATGACTGTACATCTGTGACTGTTGTCAAGCTTGGTAATGTGACCAGCGTCAGCTCCTCCGTTGCATCGGTCGTGTCTTATGTTGCCCTTTAGGAGGGATTGCGGCGTCCAGAGCGTTCTTGGCCGCCGGTAATCCGCAAAGGAATGCCTGCGCACGGGGTGATAACATTGTGTATTGGTGTGCATGACTAGCCCACCGTAGGTACCCAGTGCTCAATATGGGAGCCTCACAGACAGCTGTTATGTTGTCGCATGTGATAATTTTGTGAGAAATAGCGACTTAGCTGGATAAGGACTGCACGCTGTTCAGAGTAGATAGAGGACCTGAAACCCGCCTTCGTGCGGCAACCACTGTGCATGGAGAGGGAGGCGTTTCCATCTTGAAGGTGGCGAGAAGAAGGCAAAAGCGCTTGTAAACGCGTTTTCCTATGCAATGAGCTCCTCGAGGAAATGACGAGAATGCTATATCTCTACTAGCTCTGCTCAACCATCAGTGTATTGTGCTCGAGTGGAGTTTAGTTCGAGCGACCTAAGGCTGACCTCTGCACTGTACTGATATTTGTTTCGCCAGGAAAAACATGGCAATAAGCGCATTCGGCTTATTACTCGCGCGGCGTTTTCGCGTATGAAGTGCTGGGGGTTTGTCCAGACTCCCTGAGACCCCGACATGATCTGGCCTGACGGAAAGGAAACACAGGAGGCGAATGAATGCAGAAGAAAATCTGTTACTGGAGTCCCTAGCCTTTACATTGCTTGCAGCCTGTGCAGGATAAGGCATGCAAGCAGGGAACCCCATCCTAGCGTCCACCGGGCCGCACATGTTGGGAGCTCCCATATGCGAAGGCTTTCGTGATCCTACCATCTACCACTGCGCTGGCCTGCAGCGACCACCCGTACTTAGGTGGCGCATCAGTTGCTGTGCCCCTTCCGGCTGCACAGCGGCCACACCTCCTCTTGAGCCCGACCATCTCCGCTCAACCATTTGGCTCATCACTGCCTGTCTGATCTTCATGGAAACGGTGTTGGGGCGGACTTTCTCTTATGAGGTACCAGCTACGGGACACATACCTCCATCATTAGGATTGCACACTCGCATTACACATGGCCCATCCGGACGGCCCAACTGTAACAGCTTGGGCCACGAAAGGGACCTCGGCTAGAATGACCACCAGTTGGGGGGGTACGCTACCTAAATATAGCTCGATCCTGGAGTAACCGGTACCTCCTATGTAAAGAGTCTGCACGCGATAAAGGTATGCCTTCCATTTTTATCATGGGCCCCACCGTGGGCCATACTTCGGGTCTCCTTTTTAAAATGCGGAGCAGGGAAGAGTCTCTGGTTAGTTGGTGCTGCTGGGGCACGGAGCTTGCCATTGGTACCGTTTAGGGCCTGGGTGTCTTAATGCGGCCAGCACCGCTGGAACATCATTTTCATCATTTAAAAACATACATACAAATATGCACACCACACAGGTACGTCCACTTCGTATCCCGTAGAAATTTAAGCTCTCTTGGAGAGATTCGTGATGTCGTACCAGACTGTCGTCTATCAGAGCAGCAAGGCTTCTATAGCTGCATCAGGAAGAGCGGCCGCGTCAGGGAAGCAACAGTCAGATGTTTCACAATTGCGTTGCACACAAGACAGGTTGTGAGTTGTGTCTCACGGAAGGAGGATTCTGAACGAGGGCCCCGCCGGAAAGGTTGGAATTCTAGCAATGTACTATTCCCCAAATGTGATGGACGTAGAACGGGATGCAGTTGAATTTCACAGAATGAGGACGCTTATTGAGTTGACCTTGAAGCGTTGACGTTTTAGGTTGCTCGTCCATCGCCAGCGACGAAACCACAGGGGGATATTCCCACAACGCGATTTCATCTGCATGCGAACGAATAGCATGTCAGCAATCAAGGCACAGATAATATGAATGTCCCAAGAATATTAAAAAGCGCGTTGCGTGTTGTCAGCCGGATGATCCCTCTGCACGCATTACATACCTACTGATAGGTATCTTTTCTATATGCTATTTGGTGATGGAAACTTTGTCGAGTTAACGTAAGATGCAAAGTAGTCAGTCCCAGTCAGCTCGTCCAATCGTCCAACTGCCCAGTCGTCGATACGGCCATGCCTTGCTGTAGATGCGCAGAATTGCGAGCGTTCCCAAGATTAACAATTCTTTTTATGCTTGGAACGGGGTTCGTAGTCTAATCAGTACGACACCGTACGGTGGCACGTGGGTCCATATGACACTATATTGGGCTTGACTTTTTCTTGATCTGAAGCTAATTCAGGTTAAGTTGTCCTGCGCAACACTTCTTTCCTTTACTTTAGTGTGGATTATCTTATTTGGGTTAGAGATATTGTTCTCGTCCACGTGCAAAAACAATTAATAATAAGGTCGACAGCCTCTGGAGTATCTTAGCTCCTATTATCTTCATTTCGCCGGCGACCTTTGCAGCATTTCTCAAGAAGCGGCGGCGCGTAAGACCTCTTATCATGAGTCGCAACGCAGAGGCCGTAAGCGAGGCCCCACAGCAGCTTGGGGTCTACGCTCACCAGGGAACTGGATTCATGTCGTCCCTGACTGGCGCACAGCACCACTCCAACATGGGTAACTACTCTCCGTCTTTGGAACTGCTGCAAGGCATACAAGTACCCCTGGGCTCCGGGCCTGGACAAGGGCAGGCGCAGCAGCAAAGCGCGGGCCCTACAGGAGGCATATCTTTCAGCCCTCTCGGTGCAGGCCTGAGGTCTAGCGGGCCGTTCAGCACAGGCGGGCCTAACATCGGTAGCCGCGGTGTGGATGCGAAGAAGACCGAGCCAACAACAACAACCACAGCAACAACAACAGAAGAACGCCAGCTTTGTACTTTTTTTATCCGCACGGGGACGTGCGCCTATGGAGATCGTTGCAAGTTCAAGCACCCGTTGGACCGCCCTCCGCCTCAGTTAAATACGCGAGGTAAGGCACGTGGCACCCGCGGGGCTTAGGATACTGGGGCCCCGATGAACGTTACGCTGCATTACTTGATATTGGTATCATTTATATGTTTTTAAGCATCGCCTGCAATGAACGGGGCTGAAGCCGGCAAATCGGCCTTGTAAGTGCCTAAGAAACGACATTTGTTTCGCCGCGAGCGGAATCGGGACTTTTAATGGCAAAGTATTGTATATCATTTCAACTTCTTCTTCCCGCAATGTATGATCTCCAGGTTACCCGATACGGGCCGATGAGCCGGACTGCGCGCACTACCTGAAGAAGGGCTGGTGTGCCTTTGGTCCGACGTGCAAATTCAATCACCCTGAGATGCAGCCTTCCATTTTGAACTCTTACGGGCTGAGCCAGCCGCCTACGGCGTATGTGAGCCTGCCCACAACGACGTTCCCAAGCCCTGCGGTCTACTCCGTTCCCCCGGCCGTTCCGACACTTTACTACCTGCCTCCTGGCATGGGCCCTAATCAACTGGCCGGCAGTACAGTGAGCCTCCTGCCCTCCACCGTCGGCACTGTGGCGGCAACGCAGGCCAGCCAGCTTGCTTTCACCCAGCAAAGCGCCTTAACGGCAGCGGTTCCAGGGCAGATGTACCGTCAGCCAGCGCCTGCAGCTCCTTACGGCGGTCTGGGCGGTGCCATTAACGGCGGCGTCGGTGGTGCCATGGGCAATCAAGTATCTGTGCTGCAGGAGGCCTTCCAGGGTCTTACGCTGGGCCGCGCTGGCGGCTTGGGCCCGCGCAAGTAGTCCTCATTCGGCGGTTGGATTTGTCGCGGCTCCGGGCCGGCCGATGGTAGGTACTGCACCCGGGGCGGCCTGGCAGCGGCGGCAATGAGCTGCATGGTGGTGATGAATTGTTTTAGAGCAGGAGCTGCTTGTAGGCAGCTGAGTTGAGCCCTATTACATTTGGGAAGAGGTCGAGCGGCGGGCCTACCCGGACTCCTCGAACGCAGGCCGTGGTAGCGTTGAGGTGTCGGCACCGGTCCGAACAAAGCCGGGTGGTTACGAGCTGATGTCTTGAGAATACGATACGATTCACGGCGGTCTCTCAGGGCTTCTGACATTGCCAAACGTCCTGATGCAGCTGCAACTGATGGATGCTGGTGGTGTGCATCTGTCTGTGTGCGTACGAAGAGCCGCCTGGTGTAGGCGGCCGTGACGGATCTGGTATTATTATATCTTCTTTGCGGGGCGCAGTACGGGACACCCCTTCATGTTCTCTTCCCGCCCCTATCCTGGTCATGCACGCTTCGATGCAGGACGGACGGTCAAGTCTCGCGCGTGTTTGGTTGATTGCTGACAGATCTGTGTGCAGGCAGCACCCCCTTGTTGCGCTTACTAATGGCTTGGTGCGGGACGTGTGTCTTCAGGATTATGTGCAGTAGTTATTTTCCGAATTTGTTGGCGCTGCGATTGTATGTCGTTCATCTGGATGCCGCCACCGCGCCTTGCCAGCTGTGGGTGGCATTGGTTTAGCCAAAGATTGTATTGTCAGCTGTTGAATGAGTGCGGTATCAAGCTGCATGTTCCTTCGACATGGCCATTGTGCACAGGCGCCCTGACACCCCCTTGGTTAATTGTGCCCGGTACATGGCTCTGTGTTTACGTCTTTGTGTGCGTGACGAGAATGAAAGCTCTTTTGGCGATATAGACCTCCTGTGATTATCGAGTTGGAGAATCTTGGATGTGGCCCGGCTGCGGGGCCGGACCGCACAGTCTCCTTTCTGCTTGTAGTGGTATGGCGGAGATAGCGAGCAACTGTACTGTGGGGGCTCGGATCGCCTTCATTCGGATTGGAGTTTTTTCAGTGCAAATTTCGGGTAATTGTTGTCTTGCTACTGGTACTGATGCAGTGCATTGTGAAGCAAAAACCCCATCACGCAGCCATCGCGCGGCCATCAGTGACGCGGGTCACAGCATATTCCTTCGCTGAAGCTACGTGCGGCCTTTTTGAGCCGTTTTCTGCAGCTATCTATCCTAACCCCCAACCTTGAGGCTGTGGCGGTTTCAAGCTGTGTACGGTAATGTGAGATATTCGATACCTGGCTATTACTCTCGGTCTGCGTGGCTATTGCGAGTTGATGCTATGGCGCGATGGTTTGACCGTGTTTAAACGCGTGGGGGGCGGTAGCTGGCATGTATGGTCGTCCTGAAGGTCCATGGGTTCGAAACGTTTGGAGGTTATGAGGGAGCCCTGGGTAGGGACTGGTGCAAACATGTCCAGGAGCAGCGTTTACAGATTTTTGCGGGGCATGGCCCACATTGTGTTTACCATGTTTGTTTCCCTGGGCTTTGTTGGCGGGACTTCAGCAGGGCTTTTTTGGTCTGGGTGAAGAATGGTCTCTGGAGCACACAGGTTGGAAGGTGGCGCTTTCTTTATGAGGCGTGGTGAGGCGAGCTTTAGGTTTGGGAAGATTGGACCTTCAGCATATTAGATTATACAGCACCAGCGGCGTTAACGACCGTGGAGCTCTCTGATTCGCGTTCCCTCCTGAACCGGGGGGTTGACATGCTGATTTCATTTTCCCAGTGGTTCATAATGAGCCACACGTTCCCTTAGCTCTCGCTGTGCCGCGGGCGCAGCGCCTCACCAGCTTCTAGGGACTTTACCAATATGCTATGATGACGATGATCTGACATCTCCCCCAAAACTGAAGCGATGATTTCTTGCTGGACTCATAAACCCGAATGGGTGGTTTCCTGGACCCCGTCGCGAATGCTCAATGTTTATCGGTTCTAATTCAAGGTTTGTTCCGCATCTGGTTCTGGGGATGGTTGCCACCGGCGTACGATCCCATGGTGGCGCCACTCGGTAGCGCGTTGATGCGGCGCGGTGGTGGTAGCAGCTTTGGATGCATGGGCTGCCGTGCGTGTGTGGAGATCTTCCCCACCGGATATTGGTCGGCACGGGTAGTTTGTGGCTTTTTATTCAGACACGGTAGGTGCTGGCGATTGGATGCTTTCCGCAGGCCAAATGCATGCACAAGATGTAAGCCAAAAGTGGAAACAGTTGAGTCAACGCTGTTAGAAACTCCTCGCCGCCTATAAACGCACAAATCTGCATGCACACGCTGTCATAATTGCCGTCCGCCGTTACAGTACTTCACATGCATGCCGAGCCGCCCTCTCTTTCGTCCTTTATCTGCCTTCCCGCGTGAAGCGGACCCTCAGCTCAGCATGGCGTTTCCTTGCACCGCAACGGCGACGCTTCACACGCTGTCATCCGGACAGCGTGCTACTCGAGGAAAATCACCACCACGCAAACCGCCCAGACCAATTCTATTGCCGTCATTAAGATTCCCAATGACACGTCACCGCGCCACTGAACTACCGCTCCCAATGTCCAAAGCATTTTCTGTCGCCTGGCTAAGCGGGCTTAAGGTGTCCCCGGTCACCGCCTGCCAATATCTAACGGGGGGCCAGTCGGCACCAGCTGAGACTGGGATGTTAACGTCCCCTATCACTCCGTAGCATGGACAGAGTGCACATAATGCCTGAACCATCCCCTGCAACTGCATTCGCAGCAACCACGACCATGACGGTGTCTGGGCTCTGCCGCAAGTCCACTCTTTCCCCCCGATCGTGCTTTCCTGCGCGGACCGGCTGTTGTGTCTTATGCAACCGCGTCCGGGTCCTTGGGCACCTCAGACCCCCCGGAACCTGGCACGGCGGTGAAGTACTGTTGCATGGCGGCCCGGAAGCGGCGCATGTACTGCTTCGGGGAGATGATGGTGGGCTCCTTGCCGTTTCCGCCCAGCATGCCGCTGCTCTTCACCCACGTCTCCAGCTGCTTGTCCCAAGTGTACTGCGGCGGCGACGGGGCCCCCGGGGATAACAGGGCGAAGGCGGGGGGGGGAGGGCGTGAGAAGCGGGAGTGAACGACGGGCAAATGGGGAAAGCCTCAGGTGCAGAGTCAGGACGCTCAACCAGCCTAGACTGCAGCTGAAACGAAGATGATACATGTCCCGCTGCACACACGGAGCAAATTGGATGATAGGATTTTATATCAGCTCTTGATTATCGCTGTTGCTGTCGCTGTCTAATCCCCCACCAGCGTAACCGATTGATTGCCCAGTGGGGCTGAACGGCTTCTGCACGTATTCCCTGTGGTAAAGCAGCTCTTGGTGAGCAACGTCCCGACATTGTGTTATGATTCAGTCCTTCCCGAGGTGCAAGACGCCCGGGCCGGGTCGCAATGTGGTAGAATCCTTCACGCCAGTACGGCGCTGCAGCGGCACGTAATTACCCCCACCCCCGGCCAGCAAGCCACCCACCCCCACCTGGCGGATGAAATCGATGATGGCCAGCGCCAGCACGCCGTTCTCTTTATCCACCCCCACCAGCAGGCTGTAGTCCATGACGTCCTGCCCAGCCAGGAAGCCCGTGTCCGCCCACACCGCCGCCTCCATCTGATGCCGGCTACGCGCATCCACAAAGATTGGATTGGTGTGCATGGTACGGCGCAAGTTGTCGTCTAGGTGGACCTGCAAGAGAGGCAAGGTTGGGACCGGGCGTTTGAGGGAGGAACGATAAGGACGAGGAAGAGGACGGAGAGGAGAAAAAGGAGGGGGCGACGGCGGCCCGGGACCCGGCACGAGAAGTAAGGGGGGTGACACTGACGTTTGGGTGGCGCTACGCGGTCACGTTACCACCTATCCAAGAAGGCCCTACGAAGCATTTGGATGCAGGAGGGAAAAGAGAGCCAGACTTGGAGTCATGAAGCCCTGGCTGGCCCTCTTCGCACACACAGGTCCAGGAGTGCGGGTTGTCTTGCCAGAAGCTCGGCGCCCCATCCACATCTACATAGAGCATGGGCACTCCCGGTCGCCACCCGGCTGCGGCTCTTCCCTTGCTCCAACCTCACAACCCCACACCAGGCAGGCAGGCAGACAGATGGGCCGACATACAAATGGACAGGCAAAATGAACAGACACGGACAGACAGAAACAGACAGACAGCTAGATGCGAATAGATGCGCGACCAACGAGGCGGCAGTCCGCACCCCGCACCCGGCTCCCCCCGGTAACCCGACCTCCAGGTGGTCCTCGGGGCGGCTGGCGGCGTCCGCATTAAAGCGGTTGCGCTCCGAGCCCTTAAGGTCGTAAATGCGAGCCACTGGGCGGTCGTAAAAGCAGTTCTCCATCACCAGCAGGTCCTGAGAAAACTCCTGTGCGGGAGACGGGGAGGGGGAGGGGTCGTCCACACTAGGTGGTGTACAGCAGAAGGAAAGCAACCGCATGTTAGGGGGACGCGACCCAGGTGAGTCCGAAACGATGACCCGAAACGCCTAAAGAGCACAATGAAGCGCTGGATCGCTGTGTTCGCGGCAATACCCAGCGGAGCCCGAGCGCTGGGCGTTGGGGGCCGGTGGGCATGGAGCCAATCGATGGGTGGGCGCCGCAGCACAACACGTGGGGCATGCACCTCTCCAGACGTCCGGCCCCCAAGGCCATGCCAAGGCCCTTCGGGGCAGATCTGGGGAATGTCTGCCACTGCGCTCCGCTTCAAGGCAAGGCGTGTGTCGTCCGCGCTAGCCGTCTCGCCTCCGGACGCAGCAAATGGCTAACACGGGCGTCTATCCGGAATCTGTGATCCTCCACACCCCTCAAGCCCCTCCGTCGAATTCGGGACGCAAGTTGCTGCGAGGCCGCTTCAGGAATTTCGCTGTCAACGCAAAATGCTGTGCGTCTCGCAAACCCTCCGGGGCCCCTCCGCAGCTCTGACATCCGTCCATGCAGCCCCAGCAGCGCCCACAGCAGAAACCCTTCCCGCCTCCTCTTCACTGCATCAGCCTCGTTCGGGAACCCCCCATGGAAAGCCCCAGTATCCAAAGCCCGTGCCCTCCCCCTTGATGGACAGCACGAGGCGCTTTTCCCCCTCACCCGGTCCCTGAGCTCCTTAATGAGGGCCGCACCGGCAGCCATCCCTGCCGCGCCGCCCCCAATCGCCCCCTCCAGCGCCGCGGTGCCGGGCTGCGGCTTGAATGTCACCGAGTAGACCCCTAGGATCTTGGCCAGGCAGGTGGGCGAGTCCCGGTTGAGCAGGTGACGGCCCATGTGCGCAAAGTAGTGCGGGGCGAAGTTCATGAAGGAGGCCTTCTCGGACTGGAGAAGGGGGACGCAGCAGAGCGTTGTTGTAGGGGTGGGGGAGGCATGCAATTTTAAGTTGGCGAAAATTGAGAGACGGCATGAAGACATGGAGCTGAGATGCGATGCCACAGGGCCCTCAAAGTAGGGAAACCAGGAAACAGGGGTATGGATCTGCTAAGAGAGGCAGCCGTGGAGCAACACAGGGTAGAGCCGAGCGCAGGGAGAGCAACAGCTGGGTAGGGGTCCGCTCGTCGTCGAGGACCACAGCTGAAGGGAAAGGTGAGGTGATGGTGAGGGCTGCTTTGCCTCATCCTTCCCCCCCATACGGAAATCATCAAGGACGCGCCCTGCCCCGCCCTGACTGGGCCACCCATCTTGGTTTGGAACACCCCCCCCAGAAGAAGGGCCCCCCGCTGCTGCGACCAGAGCGGCATAATGTTCCCAACGAGTTAACCGCCTAGATGGAAGGCAGGTCAGAGGCTGGGTTGTCAAACTGAGAAACGGCAAGGATCCGCCTTCGCCGCTCAAGACTTCGTAATACCTTGGACAGGCTCTTGATGATGTAGCGCTCATCTCGGGTCTTGGCAAAGTAGGCGTTGGACTTGCCGCCGCGGCTCTCCCAGCGCTTGCAGCGGCACATACTGGCCACGAATGCCGCCTCGCCGCCCTGTATGCACCGCCGACGCAGCTCCGCAAATTGCGGTGCAAAGTGCGCCGTGACCGTGAAGCGCGCACGTGCCCAGGGCATGCTGCGCGCCTCGTCCTCAAACGCGACCCGCACGTGACATGCCTCCTTGGAGGTCAGCACCGTCCACCACTCCGCGTCGGGGCTGGCACCCAGCTGCCCGGCAGGTAACGGTGGCGGCGGCACGGCTGCTGCTGGTGGCTGCGGCTGGGGGGGCCATGCTGCTGTGCTAGTAACCTGGGTTGTGGGGCCAGCTGCCGTTGCACTGGCGGCCACGCAGGTGCTGCCCGGCCCTGGCCCTGCGGTTGCGCCCTGGCCTGAGCTGCCACTTGCGGCTGTACCCGTGCCCTGCGTCGGTCCGCCAGCACTAGCACCTGCGGCCACGCCGGTGGAACCTGTGGGTGTTGCGCCCTGCGACCCGCTCGGGGTCCCGACCGCCGCCACGTTATGCAACGGAGGTTGCGACTGTTCGGATGTTCCCGGCATCGGCCCCAGTGCCGTGCCAACTGGCTCTCGGTCGCGCTCGCGTTCGCGGTGGCTTTCCGCGCGCGCCTTGCCAAAGATGGCCTTGTAGCCTGCGTTGATCTGCTGCTGATAGGCGCGCGTAGACAAGGCGTAGGCAATGATGGACGTGGGTTCGCTGTCGAAGATAGGGATGCTGGTGTCGTTGACTCCAGGCGGAAGCGTCGCGCGCCCCGGCAGAGGGATGAACCCGCGCGCCAAGGTATTACCGCCAATGGTGGCCGCTGCCACTGACTCCAACCGCCGCTTCACCTGCACCATGAGCTGCCGGCGAGAAAATGTAGTGACGGCGGCGGCGCCGCCTGCAGCGTCAGGACCGCCGCTGGCTGCGCCGCCGAAGGACTCCGTCGCAGGGACGAGCGGCATGGCACCAGCAGCCGTGATGGGAAAAGGTGCAGTGGGGTGGTGCACTGGCACATGCGCGCCTGCAAGTCCGCCTTGGGACTGCGCAACGGCGCCCGAGGCTGCGACGCCCACGGGTGGCAATACCGCGGCTGAAGGCGGCGGCGAGGAGTTCGGAACCGGAGCAGAGGACTGCCCGTTTGGCACATTGACGCGCAGTCGGTGCTGTCCCTGTCCCTGCTCTTCTTCGTCGTGGGGCACCAGCGGGTGATGCTGCACCTTCCGCAGCTGCAGCGGCTCCGCCGGCAGCAGCGGCTGTGGGGCCTGAAGCAGCGGCTGAGGGGTAGCCCCACTGTCGGCAGCCCCCTCCCCACCGACGCCATGGCTGAAAAGCGCACGGTAATAGTACGCGCCATCGGCCACCTCGTCCGCCACGTCGTCGCCGCTGTCCCCACTCACGCCGCCGCGGCCGGCCCCGGTCGCCAAGCGGCCGCCGGCTGCGACCCCACCAGACCCACGGCCGCCTGTGCCCGCCTGGAAGGCGGCGGCCCCGCTCGGTGCGGAGCCCATGAAAGCCAAGAAAGTGTCGTGATCGGGGTCCTCGTCGTCGGCATCCTCACGGCCCTCCTCGCCATCGTCATTGTCCTCAACGCCGCTGTCGCCGCTAATGCCAGCTGCAGCAGTGCGGCATGGGGAGGAGGTATCACATGCACGACGCAAAACCCTAACTGACTACGTCAAGCACCAAACTTATGGTGTGTATTGGGGGTGGGGTTATGTGCACAATGGGGTTGGAGGAGATCCAATTAGACCCCGCATGGAGCATCCGTGACAGGGGCAAGGAAGTGTCTCAAAGCTAACAAGCTAAATGCGGCTCGCCAGCTATCACGGCATCCATATACACAACCTTAAGAGACAAGGGAGGGGGCGCTGTGACACAGCGACAAGGGACCAATGCGTCATCAACACACGACGCCGTTACGGGCCATTGTAATACTGGTATAGCCATGTTTGCGCCGGAAGCAGCTCCTCACCCAGATAGGACAAGTCGCCCATATCCCCGATGGTGCTAACGGATGCAGAGCGCGGGAGACTGGAGCCCCGGGGGCCAGCCAGCGCGCCCACGACCAAGCCGCCTGGACCCGGTGTGTGGGTGGCCCCGCCCATCGCAGCACCCCCCCCGGCCGCATCCAGGCCAGGGATGCCGCCGCCGCTCGTGGAGAGCCGGCCAAGCAACGACAACCGCTTGGAACTGGAGCCGGTTGCAAACAGCCCAGGCCCAGCGGCCTGTGACGCAGCGCGGCCCGAAGCGCTGGCAGCGGCGCCACCATCGCTTTGGGAGGGAAGCCCTGGCGACATGCTTGCTGCGGCGCCCTCCGTTGCATTGCAAAGTGATGAAGACGCGCCGGCTGTGGCGGCAGAGCCGGGAAGAAGCTCGGAGCGGGAATCCCCGCGAGAGTGGCCCGGACGGTCTGTGGTGCCTTGCTGCGCCGCCGCTGCTGTCGTCATGACGGCGACAGCAGGCCCTCCCACGGCCCCTAGCAGCGCCCGACTTCCCTCTAGCAGCTCCCCGCCGCCCCTCAGCTCCTGCTGCGCCACCATCTCCGCCACGGCGTGCACCGACAACGGCCCGTTCATGTGCGGCACAATAGGGATAGGAAGCGCGTGTGCAGCCGTGTTGTCTGCGGCGAAGGGAAAAGCAAGGCGCCAGAATCATCAGGGAGGAGGTCATTTTGACACTTTAGGTGGCTTGGAACAGGGGAGGACAAGGACTCTGCCACGTCCCGCCAGCGTGCATCGTGCAGACCCAAGTCGATACAATTCAGCTCGCCCATCCCCAGAGTCCAAGCCGCGCTTTACCACACTTTTGTCACTTGCTTCCCATCCCATATTCCACAGGATAAGCGAGGACCCGCACACGCACCTGCAGCCTGCGGCAGCTGCGGATGCGGCGGCTCCAAGGCTAGGTCCGGAGGTGTTCCCGATGTAAAGCTGGCTGTTTCCGAGGGCGGCGCCGTTGTCGTGACGAACTGGCCCGGCATCAATCCCAGCCTGTAGGCTGCCACCGCGGGGCTGGTCGAGCCGAACAGCGACATGGAACCTTCGCTCATCTGGACGCCGGGTTGCTCCAGCAGCTGCGGATGTGTGGGCTGTGAGGTTGAGGACGCAGCTGTGGGGGCTGTGGCAGCAGCAGCAGCAGCAGCAGCAGCAGCAGCAGCGTCGGGTGCAAAGGCAAGCGGCGCGGCTGGCGATGTCACGGGGGCGGATGTCCGTGGAGAGGATGACAAGATGGGTTGTGATTGAGGTTGCGGTTGGAATTGCGGCTGGAGGAGCGGCTGACCCTTGTACACTTGACGCCCTGGGGATGGGAGGAGGTGGTCAGGGAAGCCCAGGCGGTAATCGGCATAAAAAAGTGGACGGTGAGGGCTGGATAAGAGCAGGGTATGGGGAGGGCGAACCACAAACGAGCCAGGGGAGCTAGGGGACAGCTTAGTTCGCCCGCATTGAATTGCACCCAACCCTACCCAGGGCACAAGGTCCCGAAACGAAGCATCAACATGAAGCTGCAGACGCAGGCGGTCGGGATACCACCCTCCCCAACAGCCTTCGCGCGTCGCCATGCACCCGCATTTGAACTTCCCAGCGACGACGAGGCTGCAGCGCCGGCCAGCTGCTAGCCGTCTCTGCCCTGCTCCTCACCTGCACCACCACCACCACCACCACCGCTGTTGCCGGCTCCCCCCCCCGAAGTCACCCGGTTGTAGTGCGCCATGAAGCCCGCGGGGTCCTGCAGGCGTGACGCCCACTGCAGCACCGCCTTAGCCAGCACGCAGCGCAACCGGTTGAGCTCACGCACTCCGGAGATGACCAGCTCGTCCCAGGGCACCGAAGAGGAGGAGGGGCCCCCGGAGTGGGGCGGGGCAGAGGGCGCGCACCGGGCCAGGCAGTCCGCCACAAGAGATATGAAGGACTGCCGGTCCTTGCGCACTGCCACCAACAGCGGCGCCAGGACCGAAGACGCCGCAGCGGCGGCGAGGCCGGCTGCTGCAGATGGCGCGGCGCCTGGCGAGCTGCCGGGCGTAACGCCTGCGGTGGCAGTGGAGGCAGCGGTTGCATCGCCAGAAGCCGCATCACCGCCTGCCGTTGATGCTTGTTGCAGCGATGACTCTGTGTTGCTGGAGCCGGCGGCTGCGGTGGCCGCAACGGCGGCTGCACCGCTGGCGGTGGCGGCCACGCCGCCGCCGCCGCTAAAATGGGGGCTCTCTGCCAGCATCAACTCAATGAGGTCTAAGGCGTCGCTGGCCTCCTGCACCAGCTCCGCGCCCTCTTGCCGCAGCCACTTGAATTGCGCTTGTTGGCTGTACGACATCACGACGTCCGGTAGTTGCATGACGTACACGCTGGTGCGCTCGGGGAACATGCACACCAGGGTGCGGCCTAGGCCGAAGTACCGAACGTGGTCGTAGTGGAGCGAGCGGCCGAACACGTCCAGGCCATCTGCGGGGTGCAGACGCGGGTATGAGGAGGAACAAGAGAGTTCGTAGGGCAGTAAGAGACGACCATTTACAGCAGCGCCAGCGTCCTGTCGCGCCGTTCAAATCACGGCCACATCTCAACACACACCGGCGGCGCCTCCTCCCTTCCCCTTCCCCGACCCCGCCGGCCGCCCATCCTATCTGCACCCTTGTACTCCCATACCAGCAGAGAACGACAGCTCCAGGAAGCGGCCCATGCTGATGTAGCAGGCGTCTTGGGACAGCGGCACACGACGGCATGAGGCAGCGCCCTCACGGCCTCGGCCAATAGGTCGTGTCCAATGCCAGATCTGGTGGCAGAGAAGGAACAGTGGGCACCAGAGGAGTCGTTTCGTCACGGCCCGTGCTGTGGCGCCGGACCTGTGAAATGCCGCAGCAAAGCCCAAAATGTGCTTCGGGCCCCTTTGGTTTTCCCTCCCCAAAAGCACCATCACCGGCACGGTATCTTCCCGTTTGCTCGTGTAATGCAACTCGCGTGCTGGCCATCGGTCCAGAGCTCCCGCCCGCCTCATCACCTCCTCCGCCTACCTTACTCAACCGTTTCCCCGCGAGAGACCGACACACTACCAACAATGAAGCGAGATCCCTGCCACCACCACCACCACCAATACTAACACCAGACCCACGTCTTACCTGGTTTCTTTCCTCCCCTGGCAATGCCTGGATGGGCGGCAAAGTTGAATAGAAGACTGTCAGCTTGTGGCAGCCGAAGAAGAAGACGCTCTCGTGCGCTGTGAACGGCTCTGGACAACCAAGCTGCAAGCGTGGAGAAAGCAGAAGGTCAGTCAGCGGGCGGGGTCAGGGCCGAAAAGGACGACACATTGGAAGTTTAGCAAGACAGCCCGGATCTCGACATAAATAATCAGCGGAAACTCGCGATGGCCTTGCAACTGGGCCCCGTCGTCATGCATTGCAACTGTCACAGAGCTGGCACGAGGAAGCAATATGGGAGGCGCCCCCGGATGCGCTCTGGCTGTTCGGGAGTGTTGCTGGACTTGGGCGCAAGGCCAAGCGGCTTCGGCAGAAGGAACGCAGCGGAGGCACGCTGCTCCCCCCGAGGATGGCGCGCTGCCAGTTGCAGCCCCAGGCAAAGGCTATGTCGCGCCGCGCTGCCAATGCAGGTGTTCTACACAGGCGCTCCCTGGCATCATTAAAATTACAGCAACTCCTACCATTACGGAGGACTACTTCCATCGGTAAAATAGCTCGTGCGTGCCAATCTTGCCATTCTCGTGTCTCAGTTCTCTTAATTCACAGGCACTTGCATTCCGTGTCACCCGCAGGGAAAATGGAGGCGCGGGCACGCTGCAAGGACCTGAACGCCGCTCAACGCGTTTAGGGCGCTGCGCAAGCGCTACACACATCCGCGTGACGGAGCAACAAGTACTGCGGCTGCAGGAGGAGGTCTTCGGCCGCCCTGAAGGGACGCTGCCGAGCCATTTACCTAAACTCCTTTGCGGCGCAATGGACACATTTTGCCGCCTATCATTGTCCGACAGGCGAGCGGCTCCGGGGGCACAACCTTCCAGACTACGCACCACGTGCAATGCGGAGCAGAGCAGAGCTGGGCCCCACGCCCCACGACTCACCCCCGGACACGTCCAGCCCAGCTGCGTGCACATCTTGATGTAGCGGATGAGCGGCACATCCGATGAGCGGTGGTAGTAGTCAATCTGCTTCACCTGGAAGGGGTCGCACAGATTGCGATCACGGCTCCGCCTGGGCAGGGGGTCCGAGGGAAGCGGTGGAGGTGCGGGAGGGTGGAATCATAGGATGCAAACAGCGAAGGATCAACCGCAGACGTTCAGAGCACCAACAGCAGTGGGATGATGGGAGGTGCGATTGAGTAAATGTCTATGAGAGGTAGAGGAACAGGAGAGAATTAGCAAACCAGTTGACAAGGCCAACTTCCCCACGCCGTTCCTGACACCACGCACCTGAACATGCAGGTCACGAAGATCCGCTGGTGGCTATAGATGCGCTGCCCTTGAAGCACCATAACAGCATCCTGCTGTTGCGATTGCTGCTCCTGCGGCGGCGATGGCCTTGACAGCTGTTGCTGCTGCTCCCGCTCTCCTGACTGGGCAGCACCAGCAGGGCGCCGCGGAGCAGGCTGCTGCACCTGCGGCTGCGTACCAACATCGCCGTCCCAGGCGTCTGCAGCGGCTGACTGAGTCCTTGCTGCCTGCCCGGCAACTTCCGTCACGACGATGTCGCTTTGCGGCATCTCCGGCACCTCCGCTACGGCAACAGCAGCCGATGCTGCCCCGACATCTAAGGGTTCCAGGGTTTCGGTAGCTAAGCCGCCCGGTTGTCCGGCTGCGCCCAGCGCGGCAGGCACCTCTGGAGGCCCCCCTGCACTCATGCACTCCTCCTGCGGGGCTAAAATCGGCTCGGCCGCAGCAGTAATGCTGGCTGCGGCAGCCGCCGCTGCAGCAATGAACGGCGACATCAAGGTGGTTGCGGAGGGCCCGGGCACAAAATCTGGCTGGACCATAAGACCCCCGGGGTCTCTGTCCCGTGCTGTGGCTTGCTGTTGTAGTTGTTGTCGCTGCCCAGCCCCGCTGCCATCGCCCTCCGCCGGCACCGGCTGCTGTACTGCGCGCTCCTTGGAATCGCCACCGCACGCTATCGCCAGAGTGGGTTCCCCCTGAAGAACCCCGCCCGCGGCGTCGGCGTCGGCGTCGGTGGCAACAGCGAGCGCCCCCTTGGCCGCCGCCGCGGCTGCAGTGGATGTCCCCGCATCGCCCGCCTGTCCTGGGGACTCATTGAGTTCATCCACCGCTTGCTGCTGCTGCGGTTGTAATTGCTGCTCCTGCTCCTGCTGAGGCTGCGCCTGCGTCTGCGGACCTGTCTTCAACGAACGCTGCGACTGGCGGCCATGCCCATGTCCGTGGCCATGTGTGTAGTTATGGTGATGATGGTGGTGATGGTGGTTGTGCTGCAGGTGAGGAAAAGTGAAGCCCTGCTGCTCCCACTCAGCAATAAGGCTCTCGTCCCATGCATTGCAATGCGGGCTGATGGACAGCAGGATGCCGGGGATGCCTGAGGCGGAGGCCGAAACCAAAGACGTGTGGATAGCCTGCTCGGCATGTTGTCGGAAGAAGGCAAGAGAGAGCGAGGGATAGGAGAACGACGCGGAAGACATCGACGGCATGGACAACATCTGTGCAGCTCCCGGGCCGACCGGGCCGAGGGAGGAGACGCCAGACGGCAGGCTGCTGGCGGCGGCATTGGTGCTGACGCTGGCGTGGATGCTGGTGTTAGTTGCGGTCGCCCAGGCCGAGTACGCTGCGGGGCCGATGGGCACGTGAATAACGAAGTGAGCTTAAGCAACCAGGCTGCGGTCAGAAGACGTGCATAAGAGCGAAGATATGGAATGTGCGTATGCGACGAAGGAATGGCGGGCAAGGGGCGTGGTGGACGGCGCGTGGTCCGCAAGGTGCGCAAGGCGGATTAACAGTAGGAAAGAAAAACCCACCGCGGTATGTTCACCAGACCGCGTCCTCAATGCCAAGAAACCCGAAATCACTCTCCGGCTGCTTCCTTCACCCCGTGCCACAGGCACGAGACGAACAGACCCATCCCATCCCACCGCACCTTCCTCTCCAGCCGACGCCACCGCGGCCGTGAGGAGGTCCGCGAGGAAGGCCGATTCCAGGCGTTGATTCCAGGCTGTGAGCACAGCGAAGCTCACCACCGACTTCAGCTTCCGCAGCACCTCCAGACCGGCGCCCTTAAGCAGCACCGTGGAGTTGATGGGGCGGCAGCCCTCAAAGTACATGAGGGTCACCTGAGGGGGGGCCGGTGGGCCGGCGGGTACAGGCGGGGGAGCCTGCAGGGAAATGGGTAGAGGGCGCCCGAAAGGAGTGACTAACCTTTCCCGGCCATTGCATGAATGTGGAGGTAGCTCCGTGTCAAAGCAGGCGTTGGCTTTCATACCGGGACTTTGCGGCAATTACACGAAACTGTGGGAGGCCAAGCAGGTTCGAGGAGTAGACTCGTGTTTGAGCTGGCCATCATGGTCAAACGTAGCAAGTGTGCCTGGGCTGCGAAAGCGCCAAGTGAGCGTGCCAGGAGATTCAGGAGGGAAAGCACGCGCAATGCCACGGAGGCCAACAAGTCTTGCGCGTAGCGCCGTGCTAAGGCCGCGCTTCCAGCATGCCCTGCTCAAGCAACCCGAGCAATTTAGGCGTATGCTACGGAATGGGGCCGTTCCGAACGCTAGTCACGGCCTGGCTAAACCCACCATTCGCCCAACACCGCGGTGCGGCGCCGGCTGCGCCGATGGCGCTGCCGTTTGTGTGTTGCGTGCATCCGTCCCCAAGATGCTCGGCCCTCCCTGTCCTCCTGCTGACGCTGCCGAGGCTCCCAGTGCTGGCGCTGGCGTGGTGGGCACTGCAGACGACACCGACGAGGCCCACGGCCGGAAGGCCATCACGCTGGGCAAAGCCCCACTGCCCGCTGACACCAGCGCCACCGCTGCCGCCGCATTGGGCCCAGAGCCCAGCGCCTTCATCATCATAGCTGCTGACAGGGACGTATATTTGGCTTGCTGGTCGTCAGCCGCGGGCTGCAGCGCCGGCTCCGACGCTGTACCTTCACTGCCTGCTGCTGCGGCTCCCTGCACGTGCTCGCCAGCAGTGGTTAAGACTTGCTGGTCTGCGGAGGCCTGAGGTACCGGCGTCTCCAATGATGCCTGCCGCTGGGAAGCCAGCGCCTGTGCAGCAGGCGGCAGTGGCTCACCGCAGGAGGGCGCCCGGGGATGGGTTTCGCTGCAAGGTGAAGGTGCGACGGGGTCGGAGCCGTATGCCGGCCCCGTCGAAGGCGCCCGTGAATGCGTTCTGCTTCCGGGTGCCGGCGTGACGGTACCCGAGCCGTAGGGGTGCCCGCTCGAGGGCGCGCGCGAGTGGGTTCTACTGCTGCCTGCCGGCGTGACAGTACCAGGTGTGACGGTACCGGAGCTGGTGTCGACTTCGATAGGCGACGCGTGTCCTGTCGCCCCTACCGCCACCACGACGTCCGCCGGCTCTGAGGCTCTGGCTTTGACGTTGATGGTCTCAGCCTTCACCCGGAATACCTTGCAGTCACCCAGGTACTTTTGCACGGTGCCGGGGTTGAGGTGCTCCACCGTGGGAGCGACACTTATGCCCATGGCTCGCGCCAAGCGCTCCAACACCCTTGCCTTGATATTCTGGGCTACGCTGATGTTGCGTGACTGTATTGTGCGCCAAAACGAGTGAAAGCGCCGCGTCACCGTCCGGAGGGACCAGAGCGGACGGCAACGCCAGGGGTTCGGGAGGGAAGGGAGTCAGAAACACGTCGGGCGGTCAGCGAGTCGCCCCAATATGGATTGAAGTCAGTCGACGGGGGAGAGCACAGCGGAAACGGCGCACGGTGAGGCATGTCATTAGGAGGATGTACAATGAGATGGAATTTGAACGCTAGCGGAACGTCGTCACGCAACGGCAGAGACAATCAGACTGCTACAACATGCCCGACAGCCGCCGTGCTCGAAGGCTAGTGCATCCTGGGAGGGCATAACTGCATTCCCATGGCACTGGACCTGGAATGCGTATTTTAACGCGCTGCCACCTTAGACGCAACACTGCTCCCCCAGCGGCACAGGCAACTTGGGCCCTCGACAAAGCCAGGCCCCTATTCCCTACTGGGCTTCATTACCCGGCACCCACCAGCAGGTCCTCCTGCGCCATACGGGCCACGCTGCCCTCCACCAGCAACACATCGGGCTTCATTACCGATAGCCGGGCTACCGCGTTGGCAAGATACTGCTTGTCCTGTGCGGCAAAGCAGCGAGGAGGCCGGTTGGAACCACCCTTGAAAGCGGCGGAATAAGTAGATACCAAAAACTTTCCCTAGAAAGACCTCCCACAGAAAGGTGAGGGAAAAGGCTGGATTGTGATAGGTGGCGGCATAAGGACTGCGAGGCATGCTTTGCCAGATGCCATAGGCGCGCAGGCGCTGGCGCAGGCGCTGTCCCCAGGCGCCAATACATCGCCCTCGGCGCGACACCCATGGCCTCGCCGCATGGAAGCCTGCCTACCCATTCCTCCCGCCTTGTGACTTACGTGATCCATATGGTCAAAGCTGGACAGTTTGCTGGGATCGCGCTGGTAATCCAAGGAGCCCATCAGCAGCAGCACCTGCGGGGGTGGCAACACCATGGGATGAAAGCACGCTGGGACCCCTGTGCCCCGGGACCGCCGTGGGAGTTGGGTCAGGTCTGTTTACAGTGGCAGACTCGTAAATCGCGCATGAAGGCCTGGTGCCTTGGGACCTCCAACAAACAAGAGCAGTGGTTAGGGCTCACTTTCCTTGGCACCAGCTGGCGGTCAAGCACACACCCCGGCTTGATCGCCTGTGCAGCGGCGCTTCCGGCGGTTATTTGGCTCTCAAAGCCTTCCTATCACACCCCTCTACGGTGGACAGCCCCGCCGGGGGTGATCGATTTGCGAGCACAATGCCGTCTTAATCACCATCATCAGTCCGCCGACGACATCGTTTCCCAGCTCCCATACACTCACCACCAAGCCCAAGACACCGAACCCCGCCTGCTCCCACTGCTCACCTTGGGGTACTCCACGTAGGTGCGCATCTTGCGGTGCACCAGCCCCTTGCATACCACCACCCCCGTCACGACACACGTGTCCTCCGGGCGCCCCACATCCGCCACCTTCTTAATCTGCGCGGGGTACACAGTGCAGCAAAGCGCGCCTTCAGAGGATGTGGTCTGCACGCTGGCGAAGCTGAGGGCGCCGGGCTGGGTCTATAGGGGTGTCACTAGGCGCGCACGGCAGCCTCCGAAGCATACGGGTATCGACAAGCCAGGCTGGTTGACGGCTAAGGACTACCACAGCACTACTTCCCTTCAAGGCGCCCCCAGAGCCCATATTGATCATCCGGACTTCAGCGTCGGAGCCACCGCGAGCCGCTGAGTGTGGGCTCAGCAACCTCTTCGGACGGAACGAACGGGCCATGAGGGCTAGCCGGGAGTTTAGGAAAAGTTGACCTTCGGAACTGTAGACCTGCTGCCGACTTTTGTAACAAAATACGTTACACGCTGCCCAAACGCCCTCCTGTCTGCAGCAAATCGTTTTGGGTCCCTTCCAGCCAGCCGTATGCCTGCCGCAACCCAGCTTTTAGGCGCCGGATTCCGACGGGCAGGTGGGCTGGCAACGGAGCCCCGGACCACAGCGACCTGCCTTCAGCCCTGTAGCGGACCCCACATCAAGCCCTGCCGCTCATCAACCCGCACCGCACCTTGAGTGACTGCCGTGGGTCGTGCTGGTTGTTGGCAAACATCTGTGAGGGCGACAAGTACGCAGCCACGGCCTGTGCAGCGGTGCTCACTATGGGCGCCCACACCTCAGGCTGTGGCACCGACTCCGCCATTAGTAACTGCTGCACAACGGCGCGAAGATGCGCGTCGGCGGCCTGGCAGAGCAGCTGCCTGCTGGGCTCCAAAGGCAGTGGGGCAGTCGGTACTGGGTGAGGGACGCCGCGGTAAGGAGCGTGGAGCCGCAAGTTGGAGACCCATCGTGTCTGGAAAATAATCACAGCACTCTGAGGGCTCGTTTCAGTTGCCATCTGTTATGCCTAAAGCTATAACTGGGGTGGTGGATCGGCCGCTGCACGGGGATATTCCGTTTGGGGCCGAGCCAGCTCACGGCCCTGAACACGTCGCGGGAAATTCACGGCCGGCCATGGACGATTAAGCTGCCATCACCCGTACCAAGTCATTTCACGCCGACGTGGAAATGACGTTTGGCCACTACGCCACAGCCAGCTGGAAGTCTGCCTGCTTCCACGTGCCTGCCCACTCCTCCCCTCCCTCCTCAACCGCACCTGTGCACTTCCCAAAGGCAGTTGGCCTTCGGCTGCGCATCCGGCGCCAGTAAGCCCGCCTCCAGCTGCTGCTGGTACAGCAGCCGAGCATCCCGATCCGCCAAGCTCATGCCGAAGTCATCCTCAAGCGGCGGCGGCACGGTCCACGACAGGTCCCCGCTACTGACCCGATGCACCGACGAGTGGCGGGACTGGGGTTCCATGCAGTTTGGGGGCATAGGAAGAAGGCAGGAAGCGCCAGCAACTGCGCGTAACTGGGAAGCACCTAGAAGGCTGAGGAAAGTATGCCTTAAGCCCCATCTGATGATGGTAGGTCTACTCGTGGGGGAAGAAAGACATACTGACATGGTCGCACGGCAGAATCTGTTCATGGCCTACCCGGCAGCTCTGTACCTGCAGCGACAAATCTTTTACATTTACCCTACACCACCCCGCCTAATCCCCGTCGCCCTTGCTAGCCAAACGAGTTACCCTGGCCCATGCAACATGCGAGACACCTTGACGCTGGGGAATCAGCCGCCAAAGCCATGGGAAAGGCAGGGCATCAGCAACCCATCGGCTCTAGCTGCCGTGACCCGCATATCGTCACCCTGCAAATAGCGCAATCCAGGCTCTCACCCATCGGCTGAAGAAGGCGCCAATTCTGTAACGGCTTCCAGCCAACGACGTTGTCGACCCATCGCTACAACAAACACCCGCGACGAAATCTGCGCCCGGCAGCTGCCTGCAGCCATAGCGACGGGGCCAGGCAACCATCCACGCATGGGAAGCTGTTGGGACGCGGAACTGCAGCACACCCTGTGAGCTGCATGGCTCCGGGTGTGTTCTTCCCTGTGTTGACGATCCATGGCATCCCGTACAGCTGATGCACCACCAGGCAGCGCTCTAGCTGACCCTGGAGTGAGCGTCTCTCCGTGCCCTAGACGTTACAACCCCTAACGCAACGGCGTGGCCTTGCCTGAGACTCCCTGATTGCGAGAATGCAGAGGCACCGGATCCCTGAGATCCGACACGATGATGTTGTATGCGCACAGCTGGCTGATCGCTACGCTGGCGAACGCGGAAACCTGCCAGATGGACGAAGACACGCCTCACAAGGCAACCTCGCCAGGCATAACATGTAACTATTCTCATACAATGCAAATCATCGTCCACTTTCAAACACAACTCACAATAGTTGCATACGCGAAGCCATTGTTGGTCAGCGCTCTCACGGGGTGGCGGGATTGAATTGCGGGTACAGTTTCCACAGAAGACGCGTCCACATATCCGGCAATGGTGTCGTCGATTCCACTGGCTGAAGACTGACTCGCACTCGTAGCACGCTTTGCATTTGCTATCGTCAATCCAATAATCCTTGCTTGTTCCTTTATCACCTGACACTATCTTAATCACCTTTCCTATGAAATTTTCCATAATGGTTTTGGCTGGAAGTTACCGTGGAAGACCTAGCACGAGACATTCGCTCCCGCTAGCCTGGACGTGACCGCATCGCCTGGGTACACCGCGTGCATACCGGTGGTATCTCAGGTGCTCCTGAGAGCCCGTAGGAGCTTGCCGGGTGCCGTACTTCCTAACCGTACCATTTTGCGAAAATCGATGTAGAATCTGCGAACCTTTACTTCCTTGAACCGCTACCATGCTGCACAGGCATTAATACAAACGGAGCTAGGAGGAGTTCAAAACAGCAGAACGTTTTTGTTTGACCTTGACAAATTGCTAACCCCATGCGTGTCGCGACCCTGCGCTTCCCGCTGGTCAAACTTCTGCAGCCCTTATGGCGGCAGGCGGGAGGAAGGGATGGCAAGTTGCGTGATATATGCACCACCTATAGAACAAACGTGGATAACATGCGTATATTCCTTTTCTAAACTCCACATAAATTTGCTCAGCCCTCAGGCCACAAGATTTACAGGCGAGGCAATCAGAAGTCGTATAGGGGACTTCTGTCGACATCGTAATTCAAACCTGCGCCTGCATCTGAACCACCACACTGCCTTCCCACCGTACTGCCTTCCCCCGGGAACGTCACAAGGCCCCAAAACCAGGCGACAGCCATCGGGCGTCCTTAACGTTATGCCCTGTCCAATACATTAATGCTCATCCTAGTCTAGGGCAGTTGAAAAGTTTATGCAGCCATGACGAGTCGTGTCAAATTCATTCCCCGCCGTGTTTGGATGGTTTGCGCGATGCAGCAGGCAGCAAGATCTTGAACGCGCTTCAGTTTGCGTGAAAAACCCAAGAACGCTGGTCCAGGCCTTCACCTCAAAAGTGAGTGATACGGAAGCATGATGAGGTCCCGTATATGCTGTGGATGTAAGGCGCAGTGCCCAGCTAGAGCTGCAGCAGGCAGCAGTCGTAAACTGAGTAACAGTGCAGCGCGGAAAGCACGTGCTGTGTGCAGGTCAGACCCTCCCTTGCTAAACCACTGCAGCGAAATTGTCCTTGCCACAGGCCACCATCCACACGGCCGTCAACCCCGAAAGCAAGGAACAACAAGAGCCATTATAACGAGTGCAGCGCACAAATATGCAAAACCAAGCTTGAAACCATAAGAACAATCAACACATTACAAGCTGACACACCCTTTGACACCCAACATTATATTGCGCGCAGCCAATCCTCGAGCTTAAGAAGGTCTGGGTCAATCAACAAACATTTTAAGTTGGTCACATTCATCCGAAGCAGCTTTTTCCTCACCGCGAAGCAACCGCCCAGTCACCAGTTAACCATAGTAAGTCGCTTAATAACTTCACCACAACAAGTTGAGCGCGTTAACAAGGCAAGAAAAAAGTTTCAGTGTCACGCGTGCGCGGCTCGTTCTTCATATTCCTCGTACCGCCTGTGCAATGTGCTCAGGATCGGTCATCGCCTTGTTGTGGTTGCAAGGCCCATATCGGACGTCTCAGTCAGTTCCAAGAGCCCAGTCTCCTCGTCTTCGTGGAGGGACCCATACCCTTGCTTTTCCCGCACAGCACGCTGCAGGTTGCTCGGCGCACGCTTGATCGCCTGGATACTGGTCTTCGCGGCGCGTTCCGCTCGGTCTATCAGCGAGCGGCCCAGGGCGGCTTGTCCGAGGCGCGGGCTGCCGGGAGCGGTTGGCGGTCGTACTGCCGCAGGCGAGCTGCCTTCTGCAGCCTGCGGCAAGTCCTCGGGTGCCGGCCGACCGTCACCCGGTTGCTTCGAAGTGTCAGCGGACTTGTCCGCCTCCTAAACACAGAAAACGTTGGCTTACACACTGTTACCGCGTTATCACATTGTTGCTTCCATGCATTTGGCTGTGCCAAAGAAAGGCTACGAATGGATCGGCTGGCGATCTTCATGTGATCTGGGAGCCGCTCGGTACGTATCTACAGGCACTGCGCCTGCCAGAAGACAACTCCCTTTCTTAGGATATGGACCGTTCGTGCGTGCGTCCACACGGCGCAATTTGGGTACTTATACACTTCACCAAATGCGGTGCGAGCCGAAATTAAGACAGGCAAAGTATGCGTAGCAGCGTTTTCAAAAAACGTCTTCTGATGAACGTCTTCTGTGACGGTCACAAATGGACCGCTGTATCGAGATTTACTCGCCCAACTTGAAAGGCTTTCCAGGAGGACAACTGTTATTTTACGTGTACATAATTACGTGGACGCAGGACGGATAACCCTTCGGAAGATATAGCAGCAAAACTGTCATTTCCTTCAAAATTCGTCTTTTGCTCTGCGTCAAATTTTTGAAGTACGCCGAAAAAGCACGTTATGAAATCGCACATGCCATACCGCCCCTGCAGATTGCACGACAGGCAAATGCACCCACTCTTCCCCCTCCGATTTCCTCACCTCCACGATCGGGCTGAGACAAGTCGCCGCCGCCTCCCCCTGGAAGTCATCACGAGAACTCTTAACACGCGTGCGACCGCCATGGCACAAAATCGAGCATTACTGCAGCCAGCAACAGCAAGTACTGACCTGTTGAGGGCTACCTGGCATTAAGTCGGCGTACCGCCCAGTTGCTGCATCCTGTGGACAGGAGGCAAACCGCAGTTGGCATCGCGATAACCATTTTTGCAGGCAGTAAGGCCTGGTCAGATCAACTCCGTGTATAGGACGTACCGCGCTGGTGAAATCTAACATGGTTGGCATAGCGAATAAACTAATCGCAGGTATGCCGCTATCGCCAAGGCCCATTGCCAGACGAAATCCAGCTCGTGCTTCCACACCAAGTAGATCCTTATTAAGCCGGTCTTGGACAATCCGGAGGCGCTCTTTAACTCTGCCCACCCTGCGACAACAAGAAATTGTGATATGAGCAAAGGGACCTTGCAAGTAGCAGAAAGTTGACTATGTACAGGAGAGGCCGAAGGGACTTGAAATTGGCCTTTCAAATGAAGGCCATGCACGGAAAGCCCTGCCTTGATACTCACATAGACTGCGGATCGAGCAGCTTCGGTGTTGCATCGTCAAGGGGCTCAGGTTTGACGGGGCTGCCGGTGGGCAGCGTCCGAGTGCTATCTGCCCCTGTAGTAGCAAGCCCTAGCGAAGGGGCTTCTGGCGTCGGTGGTGCCTGTCGTGGAATTTCGTCTAACGAGTTCGAGGCGGCACCGGCAGGGATGCTTTGGTCCGCAACAATCACTGTGCCTATGTGCAAGGAAACAGGGATTGGGATAGCACAACTAAGTTCCAAGTTCTTGCAGGGGTTGACATGGCCAATCACCAACTTGAACGTACCCAGGTGCAACTTACTTTCCGAGCGAATGGAGTCGATGCTAGCAGCGCGCACTGGCAGATCGAAGTCTACAGAGTCACTAGACCCAAATGCCTTCTTCGCGGAGTCCTGTTTGGCAGCTTTTGTAGCTGCTGCTTCCTCCATCTTCTGGTAGCTGGCCTGTTTCGCCGAACCACTTTGAGTCAAAAGGAAGACGCCAACGAAGACCACCTGAACACGCATGCGCATATTACCAATGGCTTCAGGTTCGAGGGAAGAACGAATAGGGCAGTCGAACGTCCACTTTCCCCTGACTTCAGTTGCTCAGCCCCCGCTGACACAAACCTTATTCCCGATGCAAGCTAGTATATGTACGGAGGGACTGCAGTTCCGCCAGCTGCGTTCCCGACTTACAAGGACGCCGATCGGGAACATTATCGACTTGAGAGGTGTGAAGCCCTTGTACTCCTGGAAGTACAGCATGCCCGACACGATGGAAAAGAGGGTCCATGCGATCTGCATGACCGGGACGATGATCATGGCAGGGAACATCCGCAAGCCCTGCGAGCAGCACGACAATCGACGCATCAGCTTTGTCCCTACTGGACGCTGAATATACATCCCCCTTAGCAATGGACTTGGGCGTAAGAATGCAAGGAGCATTGCAGTTTCAAGCAGTTCACACCTTGTTGAGACGTGTAATCCAGAACACGGCGGTCAGTAGGAAAAGCGGCAGCACCAGCCACGTGTACCAGTTGCCAAGCTACAAGTGCAGGTGCACCAGATTAGCGACAAGAGCTCAGGTGATCGAGAGCATGCGATTGTAAACAATAAATCCCAACGTCTTACGCACCTGATTCTCACCGGTGAAAGTTAACCGCAAGATAACCGACATACTTTTGCTGAAAAGGACGCTCTGAGTTCCGATAAGCGCCGAGAAGACGGAATAAGCCACGGGGAGCAGCGCATACCAGATACCCTTCTGCCCATTTTTACTGCATGTAGGGAAAAGAACGGTCAGCACTGGATGTCCCTTGGAGGGCCCTGTACCGCCGTATCCATGCTTGGAAGCAGCCCTGCCATGAACACCTTGTAGAAAAGAGCCGTAAACATGCCCACATGCTTAGGATACTCACTTCACCATCTTCTGACCATGGAGGTACAGGATATATCCCCCGACGACGCCGACCCCCAACAGGCAGAGGTACACGACGTAGGCTGGCCTGCAAGCACGTACGGCAAGTCACGCAAGGCATGTGCAATTAGAGCCGCGTGCCCAGGATCAAAAGCAAGGGCTCAGGATTTTCCACCAACCTTACTTTGTGTAAAGCTGCGTAAGCTCCTTGACCGTGTATGTTGCGGACGTCTGGTTACCGAAGACCACCAGAAGTATGCAACCCCCGACGATGCACGCGGTTGCTATAAGAATCATTCTGTTGATCTGCAGAAGCAGCAAGGGTAGGCCCATTACAAGATATACAGGTCTACAGTGCGGATGTGATTTACACGGCGCTGTTCTAAACTTCGCCGGGCTAGCGCATATGGCCCCTCGTACTTAAAACCCCACCCACAAAGAGGCATACCTGTTCGTGCAGCACAAAATAAGCGAAGATAACGTTTGATACAAATTGAATGCTTCCAAGGGCCGCCAGCAACGATTGGGCCGCAAAGCCTGCAGTAATGGAACCCCCATGTGGGACCCATGGGACGCAAAAATGCTACCTTCCCGCTCGTCTCCACTCACCGAAAGATACGAAATTGAGAATGTTGCCAACGGAGAAAAATGACATCCCAATAACCCATTCCTTGAATTTGTGCACGGGGGGCTTTTGCGCCTCTGCGTACTCCACCTTCGCACGCTTATTGTGGCCAAGCTTCATCAGGTTCTGCAACCGGGAGGATAAGACCCGTCCTGGCAATGTGTTTCGCCCCAGATTGGTTCGCTGTACTGCCGTGCACGAGAGCGCGATGGGTAACCTTTTAAACCCCTAATTGCAACGCACCGTTCCAAGGTTGATAGCTATACTCCCCACCTGGAAGGGGAGGCGGCGTGCGCGGGTTTAGGGTCGTAGTTGGGGCGTTCGCAACGGGTTCCTGGAAACTACTTACCACGTTGATGATCGCGCCCACGTACCAGAGGTCCCGGGGCTTCTCGTCCGGCCCCAAGGGTGGAGTCGGAAAGGACGAGCCGGACGCCATCAGAAAGGCGTGGAAGCTGTCAAAAGTAGATCATTAATTGCTTAAGACGATGACTAAATACTCAAGGAAAATAATTAGCTGTACAGTTGCCAGTAAGTCATACAGTTCGTCTCGAGATTATCTTTTAGTTGACTGGCCTAACCATAGAAGTAAAGGTACACGTCAAAGTCCTATTCGCCGAGAGTATGAGTACCTCCTGTAAGGTGAAGGATAGCCCAGAATAAGGATAGGCAGGGTGATGTCCCGCGCAGGACTGTACGAAAGAGAGGAATAGTCATTTTTCTCTGACTGCTAAGCCGAATTAATTTTAATGTGTCCATTGCCATCAACCGAGCCTGTCTATTCTGTAGCGTTATATAGCCTTCATAACAGCAATAATCGGAACGGCCTACCGGGCAGCTTTGCTCGACTCCACACGTTACGGCGAGCGTTTTTTGAACTATATAAAACGTAATTCGCTTAGCATTACAGATCTAAAAGGCCATGCCGCCGAAGGAGGCTGTCGAGCCCATCCAACTGGAGAGCCTTGGCGCGCAGCAGCTTTTGGACCTGCGCTCTAGCTTGAACAATGAAATCCAAAGGCTGGGTGAGGGCGCACAAGCCCTCGCGAGAGCAGCCAACACTTTTAGCAACTCCAAGAAGGCGGTTGAGCAGCTCGCGGCTTCAAAGACTGGTATGCTTCATGGCCGCGGTGACATAACGGAGCGTGACATGGTCTAAAATAGGGGAAATGCATTCGGGGGCGTAGTCTTCGTTGTATGTGTTTTATATCCGTACGGTTTCCTCACGGTAACGCATGTGCCACCAGGCCAATCTATCATGCTCCCGCTGACGAGTTCCCTTTACGTCTCGGGAGAGGTGGACGACGTGGAGAAGGTCCTGGTGGATATTGGCACAGGCTACTATGTAGAGGTATGTTCACCCTCAAGTCGTAAACTTTATGTGGAGCAATTATGACGCTCTTGTTTACAGATGGCTACGGCTGATGCCATGAAATATTACGACCGGCGAATCAAGACGTTACACGAGAATGTCGGAACTGTCCAAGCAGTAAGTCACAATGCCGGTAGTGAACGGACCAGTGCACCACACTAAATCATCCTGCTGTCACCTTGTTTGTTGCGCAGACACTCCGTCAGCGCCAGAATGTCCTCATGCAAGTTCAGGCAATCCTTCAAGAGAAAATTTCGGCCCAAGCGGCTGCTGCGTCACGAGCATAAACCGCTGTACATCAAACAAGAGTTGTTTGTCCAAACGGTTACAGTGTAATGATACTTTTGTGAAAACCACCTATGCATACTCAACACGTGTGCCACGTAGTCAAAATTGTGATGTGATCTCGTTTTCCACCTGATCCTTCCCTTCACCGCTGTAAAACACAGCCCCAACTTTTATCAACCGACGTTCACAGCTTTATACACGACGTGTAATAATAGTGACGGTCAAAGCAAATGTAAAAATTTCCCAGAAGCACCCTTAAATTGCCATGTTGTCCGGCTCCTCGTAAATGTTGAATGCCATTTGCCAGATCTGCACGGGCAGAGAGATCTCGCTTTAGCTGGAAAGAACACATTGGAAACCCAGCCACGTAAGGTGAAACATACGCACCTGCAGAATGTTATCTTCTGCAACCGACGCCACCACCCAGTCGTCATTCGGGTTCCATGCTAAGTCAGAGATTTTCGAGGTGTGTCCGCCATGGATGAAGAGAAGCTCCGGCGGGCCGTCCTCGGCATCCTCGGGAGTCTGGCAAAGCAGCAAGATAGAGCAAGGTATCTTCAGAAGGCCGTGCTTTGGAGCATCCGCGTAACTTAACACATTACAACAAGTACGGAACTACTATGAGACCCAGAATCTGTACAGGAAACGCAACATATTGTGTACCTGCTCATCGCCAATGCGTGACAGGTCCCACACCATTACACGCCGGTCCGCGCCGCACGATGCCAGGATAGTCTCGTTCTTGGGACTCCACCCGATCTGGAAGACCTCGTCAGCGTGGCACTCGAATACGTGCAACCGCTGGCTGAGGTTACGCCAGTCGTGCAAGGCAACCTATACAGCGAAGGGAGGTCTTTTAACGTCTGATCTAATTCTGGGGTTTAACTCCCAAATGACCTTTCCAGCTGAGGTGCGTACCGTCTTGTCTGCGGAGCCTGTTGCAAGAATGTTTGGATTCAGCGGATTGAACGCGATGCAGTTGACTTCAGCTGTGTGCGCCTCAGCTGCTATCATGACGCCTGCATATGTTTCGTGGGCGTTCAGTTAGGTCGCAATACCACACCATGGGAAACTAAGGCGGATACCACAGGATGTGACATGACTGTATGCTTTAACACTTAGGATGCCGCCGCCATCATGTCTATCCAGTATCCAAGGCGCATTTAGGGCGGACACAACCCCGCCACATATCGGATGACGGGGGTTGCAAAGCAAGTGGCCTTCCAAACCCTTTTCAATCCAGGACACCCGACTTCGCGTGAACAGGTTGACCACAGGCCGTCCTGCCTAGCTACCGCTACCGCTTGAATGCTCACCTTGGTTAGGTGGGCGCCGTACGTCCCAGAGAATGAGCTGCTTGTCATCGCCAACAGAGCCGAAGATGTCAGCGTGGTGGCAGTGCCATGCCACGTCCTACGTGACCATTAAGATGTAGAGATCAGGGACTGTACTCCCGAAAGCGCAGCACCCATGAATGCACGGAAGTGAAGACCAGTGCAAACTGAAGCTAAATCTAGAACTGGCTTCCCTAGGCGGCATGAGTTCCGCCGTACACTGCTCCAGTGACGCGGTAATGAGTTGCGCTAGGGTAGCAGGCCAGAAGATCTTACGTCGTCTGACGACTTAGACCGTCCCCAATCTTGTGCGGCCATGCCGTCAGGGTTCAGATGAACCTACAATACCAGGTAGCGCACACTTACCTCCACAACGCCCTGATGCTCTTGGTATATCGTCCTGGCCGCAAGTTTCTGCACGTTCATGGGCATGCCCTCCAATCAGCACCGGCTTACGATGAAAGTTCACAACGATACAGTTCCAGGACACCGAATTGACAAATTCCGTCCACCGTAATCATTCTGCCTTGGTGACCATGCTAAAACTTACATTCACGTTCTTCGGTGTTGCTTGGATATCCCAAAGGCAGATTTGAGCGTCGTCAGAGCCAGAAAGGAGGTTTCCGGGCATGTATGGCGACCACGCCAGCCCATATCCCTCTGTCTTATGCCCAGTAAGCACGAGGTTTGGCCGACAGAGCCCATCCGACTGCGGCTTTGAGGGGTGTTTGGAGTAATCAAACACGTAGACGTCCGCGCTGATTGTCTTCGTTGCAATAATAAACTTATCCTGCGGCATGTGCCGCGCGCGGTTGACCTCGCCGTCATGGTTGATCTGCTGGATCACGTGCACCTTGCCGTGGGCGCCGCCAAATCCTCCAACTTCGTTACGCTCATCATCATATCCCCGGCCGTCCAGCTCGGATTCCTCCAATGGCAGCTGCACCTCCGCAATCATAAGGTAATTCTGCTCATTGTCTGACGTATGCGTCCCGAGTATAAGCTTTTGCTTGGAGTAGTCCTTCCCCGGAACAATCTCCTTGTCCTGCGGGGAAGAGGCACCCGGTGTGCGCGGGGTTTTTAACTTCGGGTGTGCCAGTAGCCTCCCTACCCAAACGACAAACCCGACAGCCGAGCAAACCACATGCCCAAGCACACCCTGGCCAATCTTACTGGAAGCCATTGCACAGTAAGGCTGGGCCACTCCAACGCGTGAGTCACCACAAGATCTGCGCGGGGAATCCACAGTCAGTTCCATTCTTTGGCTCAGACACAGGTGCTGGTGCTTACCATAAAGGAATGGAGTGTTCTTTTTCCAAATCTTATACTCTTCGTTGGTCAGTCGCTCCTCCACCTCGTCAGGATAATCTGCACGGTTGCAAAGTGGCACTTCAGTTTAACGCGAGTATCCTTGCTAGTTTCTAGATTACTATCCGACCTTCCTCATCGCGGCCCATTTCCTCTCTGTCAAAAATGCACTGCCGCGCTGGCTAGTCGGCCCGATAGACTTTGGCGGGCTCAGAGAACGTATGCACGTAGTTTGCAGGATCCCTCAAACACAGTTCAATTATATCCGTCACCGACAAGTAAAGTGCTGCAGTATTCTATGCAAAACTCGGTTCAGTTCAAGGCGAAGCAGCTGCGCCTGCGTAAAGGCATGTAACCTTTCATGGAACAATTTGCCTACCATGCGAATCTTATCAAAGCAAACTGTGGTACATGCAATCATCCTGCAACAAGGTTTTGAAACTGAAATTTCTGGTTCCGGAGCGCTCCCCAAAGACAACAAAATTATTGTCGCCTTCCAATAATCCGCGTTCTGGGACTTGCCTGGCATCATGGCAGAACACAATGGTAATGAACAAAGTACGAATTTTCTTGAAGAGCCCCTGCTGGAGTCCACCCAGCCTCGGGGCACGGGGCAGGACGAAGAAAACCTAGGCGGCTTTGACGGCCCATCGGTAATCAAGGTACTCTTTCGCTCTGTAATGGCCCACGTGGCTAGCGGCAGCTGGTGTGATACGTCCAGTGTTTAAACCCGCTATTGAAGTATGGCCAGCGCCCCTTATTAATAGCGGAAGGCTGGGACAGCGCTTTTTAAGCGGGACTGCCCAACAGACGTTTTTGGCGGGCAACTGAGCCGACAGCAACACCTAAACTGGACATAGTGGACCTCCTCCCGCGACGCATCGCGGGCACAATATTTACTCCTAACTGTTTGCAATATGTAAAGCGAAAAGACTCATATCAACGCTAGCAGTTAAAGGTGCAGACGCTAGCCGCTTGCCCGTTCCGAAAGTCATTTGCACCGAGGGATCCCAACAGACAGTCACCATCCCAAGTTGTGTCCAAGTCCAAGCATGAACGTCGCCATCTGCAATGTACCCTGGGATGCAGAACCTCGCGCAGATGAGCGTCTTGTTCATCCCATTGCTCCTCAACCTCACGTGTGCGTACGGCATTAATCTTTCGACCCTAGCCTTCGTCGGACATTTGGGTACAGACAGCCTGGCCGCAGCGGCGCTAGGCACATCAATTGTGGGCATGCTTGGCCGAACGGTTCTGTACGGCTTGGTGGGCGGACTTGACACGCTCGCATCCCAGGTGTGCGCACTTGGCTCGTGGCTCGCCATACGGAGCTCTCCCTAGATTGGTCAAACCCGCGCGTGAACTAAATCCGTCCCGGCTCGTGATGAGGCTGCTGAAAGGGCCCTGGCGCGGCTGGTGCGCATGGCCCTGGGCTGCTCATGTTGGGCTATTGCCGTTTCGCGGCTGCCCGAATTGTTGCCTAGGGACGCAGCGGCATTGATTGGGTTCCCTTGCTTCCCAGGCATACGGCGCTGGCAACCTTGCGGCCATGGGCGCCCATTTCCGTGTCGCCACCTTGTTCCTGCTGCTACACCTAGCGCCGCTCCTGGCACTGCTGGGGGCTCTGCCGCTGCTGCTGCGGCGTGAGGAGACGGAAGAAGACCTGGGCATCATGGCGGGGCGGTACGTGCGGCTAATGCTGCCGTCGTTGATTTTCGAGTCCTTCAACAGGCCCATGAATAGCGTGCTGGTTGCACAGCGAATTACGGCGCCTCAAATGATCATACAGGTAGAGAGGATTAGGTTTGGGTTGGATGCCCCCATTGGAGCGCATGCGTAATGGGAACACCGTTCGAGACAGTTGACGTATTTAGCAGAGTTTTAATTTTCGACCACGCGAGAAAGCATAGACCAACAAGGCTGTGCTGTGCTGTCCTAGCCTGAAAAGAGTCCCCGCACCGCAGGTGATTGCCCTGACGCTGCACATTTCCACCAACTATGGTACGTGTGGGAGCTGCACAACCGACGCCTACTGTGGCCGAACACCGATTAGCCACCCTGCATATGGATTGTGCCGTCCTTGCGTGGTGTGTGTGTGTGTGTGTGTGTGTGTGTGTGTGTGTGGACCTGTACCCCTTTATCCAACGGTGTTGTGGCAGCGTATTACCGTCTTGTGCATCGGCTCATGCCAGGCATTGGCCAGGCCTCCGGACTTGAATAGGCGCCTTCCGTGAGCCACAACGCACGCGTGTGGCCTTGGCGTTAAGTCTTGCGCCCCAAACCTCGGCCCGGCTGCAGTGATGATCCATGTGCTGGGTCTGGGCTACCTGGGCGGTGCTGTGGCGACCAGCTGCACCGCAGCCTATGTGCTACTCATGACCAGCTCCTACGTGCTTTGCTCGGGCCTGGGTCCCCGTGTCTGGGGGGCCCAGGGTGTGCAGACGTCAACCTGGACGGTAAGGCCTCTCGTTGCAGGCATAGCGTTTGCGTGCAAGGAAACGTGGTTTTATGGTGGGGTAGCGCAGGCTCTTGCATACCGGGGCGGACGCACCAACTGGACGAGCCCCAAAATGTTGCGGCGCTGTGTCACGCGTACAGGCCCTGCGTTCCTTTGGGAAGCTGTCGTATCCCGCTTGCGTCATGAAGTGTGCGGAGTCGTGGGGGTTCAGCTTCATGACGGTTGCGGCGGGCAAGCTACCGGACCCGGGGACGGCAGTTTCAGCGGCCAGCATCTCTTTTAACATCTACGGTGAGCTCCCAGATTGGCAGGACTGAAGCGCAACTGGTGGGATCTGCACTTTTACATGCACTATGGCTTCTAAGCGCTGTCGCGACCTTAAAGGCTACGTAAAACACATATACGCATACCACATATCCTATTCGCGACTCGGTTCCTTGTAACAAACATGTTGGGGCACTGACGTCCTTGCATGTCCCGATGACGTTGCTTCCCCGCCCTCAGGTGTCCTGTTCATGTGCTTTTCCGCATTCGCCGTCACTACCTGCACGCAAGTCGGCAACGCGCTTGGCGCAGGTGCGCTCAGGGGTCCCCTTATTAGTCGCGTGCACTTCGTCACCTCTGCATTCACGTTTCTCTAGAGCCTGGCAGGAACTATGCGACTAAGTTAACTCTTGCTTCTCCATGAGAGGGCATTTTTACACACTCCAGGGTTTGGATCTTGGCGTTGGCCCCGGCGCAGTTTGTTGAAGCTAACTGATCTAATCCACTGCCCTAGGTCCATGGCCTAACGCACACGCAGTTTGGCCATGAGGCCATGGCGCAGCTGTCAGATGATGACATCACGATTTCCTCCAGGATGAACTCCTGCGAGTTGTGTCACCATCTGTAGCAGCTATCGCCTTATGGCCACCTGCACCTTGCTGCAGGAAGCGCGCGCGCCGCTCGGCACGCTGCCCTCACAGCCTTGTGCACGGCCCCAATGCTTTGGGTGGGCATAGCCACGCTGCTGGTCGAGCCGCATACCCAACGTTTGCTGACTCTTATATTCACGGATGGCCACGACACGAGCCTCACGTATCACCTGCGCCGAATGTTGGTGCTGGTAGCGGCGCTGGAGCTGTTCGACGGTTCTCAGGTGGTGATGACTGGCGTCATACAGGTGGGTTAACTTACGATCGGCATTACTTGCCACGAACGGTATGGGGCCGAGCCTTTGCAATGCCGATTGGCCCATGCATGGATTTACCCTCGTGGGGTCTGTATGTGTCTGTGTGTGCATGTGACAACGAGGCCTTAACGATGCTTCCACCGGTGCTTCTACCATGCAGGGCGCCGGGAAGCAGCGCCTGGGTGTGTTGGTCAACGTATTTGCTTTCTACGTGGCAGCCATCCCAACTGCCCTGGTGCTTGCCTTCGTGCTGCAGTGGGGCGTAGAGGGCATGTACAGTGGCATGCTGCTGGGGCCAGCCATACAGGCGGCAGCTTATTTTGCGATTATACTGAGGTTGGACTGGAGGGAGGAGGCCAGGAGAGTGGCAGCCAAGGCGGCTGCGCGTCAGGAACGGGACTGCGAAGAGTTGCCTTAGTGAGCTGTGGCGACCAAACAGGGTAGAGCCGCTGTAGTGCGCGTGCTCTGCTTCGTGCAGGGAGGGGCGCCACGTTCGGTAAATTGGCTCAGCGTGGGTCATGTCTTAACATCCTTCGTGAAATGTTAACAGCGGGAATAATGTATTATATTAAAATTTATCTTCGGGGCTTGTCAGCAAGCAATTGTGAGCTTGTTACTCCCTTACCCTTGTTCACCACCTAGGCTGTCGAACGGGGGATGGCCACGCGAATGGAACTTGTGAGTGTGTTAAGTTATTTAAGCCTCCTATGCCGATCGGAGGGCACTTCACAAATGTCCCCTTGGCGTGTCACTGCGTGATTTTACCGGTTACTGCTGGTTTGATGTTACGTGCGCGCGGTCTTCCTGTACGGATAAGCATTGCGCGAACACATTAAGTCCATTCATTACCTCACCGCGCGAGATATGTTTGCGATTTGGATTTCCCGCTTGCGACTGGGTTTACGAGGCGTTGCTGTTGGAAGCGCACGCCACGCTTGCAGAAGTGGACGCATGTGGGTGCATGTAGATATAGGAGGTGGACGCCGCGTTGGCCGGGGCTGGATTCCTCGCAGTGCACTGCGGAGGCAGGCGACAATAGATAGATAGGCGAACACGTGTCTGCATGCGATTGCTTCATGTCAGGCAGCTGAACCAACTGTAAGAGGTTCGATGCGTATCTGGATGCAAGCTCTTGTCTCTTGTTCGTAATGCAGCAAGGGTCAGAGTGCAAAGCGTGCCTTCATTAGACCTTACCCTGAGGCCTCGTGGCCCCTTCATGTACCTATGTAGTAGGGGCTCTACCACTGGAGAAATTCCTCAAGAGGGCTTGCACAACCATCTTGGCTGGCACGCCACCCGCTGTGGCGTTTATTATATGCTTGACTACCCTTTGTGTGTTTCGTTTCACTGATGCATCTTCTGGGAGAAAACGGGCCACAAGGAAGCTTTCCGCTAATGGGAAATGTCATGGTCACCCAATGCATTGCGGAAGTATGCACGAGGGAATGGAGATAGCTAGAGTTGGCCGTACTAGGATTAGGCTTAGAAGCATGCACTTTTACACATCTTACAATCAGAGTGTTTCAATGTAATATTTGCATAAAGCCATGTGAACCATAGCATGATAACCTTCATCTTCCAGCGGCCCTGCAGATGCTGGGAAGAAGGCTCGGATGGCCTTGAGCCAAGCGGATAATTAATATTCCACCGTGCATTCGATAATTCAGGCCATCCGTTCGCAAGCACTAATGAACGCGTGCAGGGAATGCCAGACTCGCCCATGCGATGCTGCTGTGACACGCCACTTGGTCTTCGTGTCGTACAACGGTCAAATAAATCGTACATCTGTATATGCAGGCAGACTGTCTGGTGACACACACGGTTCTCGTCTCACAGAATTTATTCCAACAAAGATGCGTCGGACGCAGGTCCTTTTAACTGCGCTGCTGGCCTTGGCTGGCAGCGTCCTGGCAGACAACATTAAGCTGCAACAAGTTGATCGTAAGGTAGTCATTATGCTATGAGCAGGCTTACCAACGGATAAATAGTTATGTACATTTCATTTGTATTTAACACTTAACTGTCTTCATACGGTGGCGCAGATCAGCCTCAACTCACAGTTTGTGCGTATCAGCGAGACTGTGAAAGTTAAGAATGTCGGAAGCTCTGCTGTCTCTGAGGTTATCCTTTGCGAGTCTCTTGGTGGCGATGCAGTGCTGTCGTTCTACAAGGTGAGTAGGCCGATCCGGGAACCCCTAGGAGGGCGCGCTCTTGTCGTGATCCTGCGTTCTCATTCATCTGGTTAATCCTCCTACAGGTAGTGGAGACATCTTCAAAACATGCTTTGGCGGTAAGAACACAAGGGCCGGAATACACGGAGGTCCTCGCTCTACACGTCCAGTTGGTTACTAACCCCTCTCAAATTTCGTTTCATTAAAATGGAATGGCATTGGACGTTAGGTGTCGCCGACCACGGTTGCGGATGCGCCTGCTGAGGTTGCTTGCTACTCCGTTAAGTTGGCCAATCCACTTCCCGCTGGCGAAACCGTCGGGTTGACGGTCACAGCTGTATTGGCCAACGCACAGATGCCATACCCCGCGGAGATCACGCAGACAGACACACAGCTTATGTTGTATAAGGGCAACGTGTATGTCCTGTCACCGTACTCCGTGTCATCCCAGACGACTGAGGTGCGTTTGCATTCCAACGTTTTGGGCGTCACGAAGTCCACCGCGGCACTTTGTGTTTTGACTACAGTCTTACATGAGTATGTGGGATGATCTACGGAGTGTCATGACCTCACCAAGGGGTTCACGGTGTTTGGGGATCTGGATGACAGGCAAAGGAGGGAACGCGACAGGCTACACCAGGACCAGAGTAACAGTTAATAGACTGATGATTTCCTGGCATAGGGTCGGTTGGTGTGGCTTGTGACTCAAGGTGCCCAGGTCAGGCGCCACTTCCCTTGTCATTGATTGTCCGGCTGATGCCAAGTCATGTGTCACGAACTGGGCGCCAACAGGTTGCCTTGCCGTCCAGCACCGTCAAGTCTTACACTGAAGAGAAACCCGTCAGCAAGGTGGACAATAAGATTAAGTACGGGAAATATGACCTTGTTAAGCCTTTCGCCGTTAAGGAGCTGTCGGTGCACTTCGAGAATAACAAGCCGTTTAAGCACGTAAGTGGTGCACCACTGGCGAAAGGGAGCCACGGGGGCAGTGCGACTTGTCTTTCCTAATCATGTCGCTCCTAAGCCGGGGGAAGGGGCGCGATAGTAGGCCTTGGTTAAGGGGCATCGTGATGGTGGATACCCTCCGCAATAATTCTCAAATTTGCATTGTTGCTAGCTGGGTATTGTTGCCGAGCTGGGTGCTCCTGGTGGGACTTGCTTGTAGGTTCTGACATATGTGAAGGAGATTGAGGTCTCCCACTGGGGTAACATCTACGTGGAGGGGAAGTACGAGATCAAGAACGCAGGCGCGAAGCACACGGGGTCCTTCTCGCGTCTGAAGTATGGACACATGTACAACGGGAAGGCAAACTCCTTCAGGGTAGGGTCCGTACTGTTAAGAGATTAGAATCGGGCCTGGCATGCCTTTGCAACAATGTTACGCGATTCAACAGCGTTAGGGCAATCAGGGGCTGGTGAAGTGTTATAACTGCAGTTGGAAACACCTAGGATGCCAGTTGCATGATCAACGCCTCGGTGTATGCTGACCGTACGCCCTGTTTGCCCTTGTTTGTTCCACAGGATCTGCGGGCCGTTTTGCCCTCATCAGCGCATTCCATGTATTACGTAGACCTCATTGGTAATATCTCCACCTCCAATGTCCGCAAATCGTTGGCGTCGGTAAGTTGTATTATGGACGGGGTCCGTTGGCTCATGTAATGTTCGCGTACCACCGCCTACTTGTCTCGGCCCTGTCCTGCTGCCTTCACAGACTGTCCTGGACTTCGACCTCCGCTATCCACTGATGGGCGGCTGGAAGGTGGACTTCACCATTGGTGAGTGGATGCATATCTGCAGTTGCCACGTTGTTTGGGTGCGACGTACGGGATGGAGGGTGAATTGCAACGCCCGTAGTTGTCGCTGCGCCGGAGGAAGGGTGCCTCTCCTACATTGTTGGCTTCGCCCTTGCGAAATAAGCTGTTTGTTAGCTACAGTTTGATCATACTTTTCTGGTTATATTCCTGTAAAACTACCTTAGCTTACAGTAATAATTTACCGTTTAACGAAAAAGCCCACCGTCGCATGCAAACCTCCATACATGATTCCTGCATCTCCCGATGGTCACAAGGAAAGGGCAAGACTAAGCTTGTTGCTGGTTGTAATGTGCGGCATCAGGTTACAGTGTGCCCCTGGCGGGCTTCCTTACTTCCACGAAGGGCGGCCAGCGGCGCCTCACCATGGACCTGTCGTCCCCTCTGGAGGACGTATTCATTGAGGACATGGTGGTGCGGGTAGGTTCAAAGCCCGGAACCAAAGGCGCCTTCAGGCTGGAAACGTTATCATCAAGCATTCGGAATGTGCATATGTGTGCGCAGCACTGCAAGCTACGAAGCCTGGGAAAGTATTTCCTGGACAACGGGCTCTGGACTGTGCTTATCGGAGGGCGTCCTTTCACACGCGTATTGAGCCGGTGGGGGTTTCATATTCAGCTATTGTAACTGTGCTGGGGGTGCCCCGAATAAAGGGATGGGTTTCAAGTGATAAGCTGTTTACATGCCAACGGATGGATGTGTGCCAGTTTGGCTTTCTCCGGTATCTTACTTTGGGAGTCCCCTTTCGTTGTGCCGGCGATGTACCGTGTTGCTAACTGACAGGTGGTCCTCCCTGAAGGCTCTGCCAACATCAAGGCATCCCTGCCCTATGACATGGAGCAGAGCTTCGACATAAAGTGAGTTGCCATTGCCGTATTGCGTTTTTGCTGAAGCCCGCTGTGCTAATGTCTCATTGATATGACGGACCCCATGTTCATGGACCCGAGGGCCCTTGCTTGGGCAATGCGCATGAGCCTGTTGGCGGACTTTGCACACACAGACAAGCAGCTACATCTGCACACCCAGTCAGCAGCTTTCCCTATATAGTAATCAAGACGTCAGGCTTCGGTTGGTTCTATTCAGCACTTTTCATGCATCTACCCCCTGCCACTGCTTGCGCCAGGTACACTTACCTGGACACTACCGGCCGGCCTGTGCTGGTGCTGCACAAGCAGAACATTGCGGCGCCGGAACACGCCGCCAAGTTCAGTGTTGACTATGATTTCAACAAGGTCCACATTCTGCGTGAGCCGCTATTGCTGGTACGTTGGATTGGCGGTATGTCAACTACGAATACCCCGTGTGCATGTAGCTGTTGTTCCAGCAGCCGAGGAATGATCAATGGAAGATGCTGGGGTACGGGGATGTCGTCTATTGCAGGCAGGGATTGCTTTTCTTAACGCACTTGGCCATTTATTTGCCACTTTGCGAATTGCCTCCGTGCGCAGGTGGGTGTCTTCTTCGCCCTGTTTGTTGCTGTGATTGCCTATAACCGGATGGAGTTCACTATCACCCGCGACGAGAAGTGGGAGGCGGCTCGTAGCAAAGAGGTCCTGGCCACCTACATGGAGCAAATCCAGGCTCTGCTCGAGGGTGAGGGTGAAAGGGAGCTGTTCTTATAGGTTGGTTATTCGTGATGACTTTTGCCGTGTTTGCCATATTTCAGCCGAGCAACCATTCTCCATTTCTGGTGATAGTAGGGGACCATCGCTGTTGCATTCACCTGGCCATTGTGCCATGTGTACGCAAGCCTCGTAAGCAGTGCAGCCCAGACTTGTGAAGGAAAGTTTTTGCAATTCCAGTCCCTCGGCCGGGAGGCGGCGCCACGCTTTATGGCGGATCCATCACACACGGACTTGAACCTACCTGCCTTTGCACTACAGTGTGTTGTGGCTAACTGTTGTCCCGTGCCCCCTGCGCCATTATACAGATGAGGCGACCGTCCTGGCGGGGCTGACTCGCGCTACCAACCAGGTGCGGGATGCGGCGGACGTGGACGCGGCGCAGCGTGAGAAGGCGAATGTGGAGAAGCGGCTCAAGGATCTGGAGGAGAAGGTAGGTGATATGGGCTGGGGTGCCACTTCGTATGCATATGAACATGTGCATTGTTGGTGCGGTTTGGTGCACGGTTTGTCGCTGCTGTCTTCAATTGGCGTTTAAGTGAATGAATGAACTCACCTATGCGGCAATGTCGACGATGGATTCGTACCCACAGTTCCAGGCTACATTAAGCCTGTACTCGAGGGTATCCTGTTTAGGTGCAGGTCATTCCGTGTCGTCGCCGCACGGTGTCAGCCCTTTCCCTGCTTCATCCCAAAGTCTCATCCTGTTCCCCGCCGTCCATCGGTTGCAGGTTAAGCCGCTGCTGCTCGCTGTGGAGTCCCGCTCTGTCCGCGTGGCTGCCCAGGTCCGCGACGTGCTGGAAAAGACTCGCTCCCTGCAGGGTCGCTACTACAAGCAGCTGGCGGACCGCATCGACCTCGTCAAGAAGGGAACCGGCATGAGCGTGAGTTATTACTACCTGAATGTGTGTTATTGGTCGGGCTGTGAACGTGAGCTTCGCCTGTGCAGCAATTCCCAAGGCGTTCGAGGTTGGATTGGGTAGAGCATAAGCAGCATGGGCCCTTGGCTGTGAAGCGAAGTTGGATTTTATGGCATGGTGATAGCGAGTCGGGTGCCGCGCAAATGAATTATTTGATAGCCTTGCATCAATCGGATTATTTAATAGCCATTCCAAGCTAGTACGATTTGCATGTGGCCCATCTTGCAGGAGGTGAGTCGCAAGCTGGCGCCTGGCCAGGACGCCCTCAACGCTGCCAAGCGCGAGCTGGAAGGCTTGACCACGACGGTCTTTGGTGCTTACTGATGGGCCACTGCCTGGCTGCTGTCTTGTTCGGCTCTCCATGGGTTGCGAGGAGCACGTAAAATGCTGTGGCCTATCTTCTTGTGTGTTGAATTAGCTTTGATAAGGCTGATATATCTTTCGCGGGACTGGACTGGGCAATCGCTGGTTGCAGCGAGCCTTATGTTGTTCCCCGAGCGCCCCGCATAGCTGTACCTGTTCACAACGGGTTCATGGATGTGCGCGCTTCGTCAAGCCGCCAGTACTGTACTGCAGAGTCTTGTTATATGGAAGCTGAATCACGATGGCCCAGCGGTCGCGGCAGCGCGGCTGTGTGAATTAAGGCATAAACAATAGAGTGCTGAGCCTATGGGCCAACCCCATTGCGTGCGTAGAAGAATCTCGGGACCCTTGCAGCACGCAGCTTTTGCAAAGGTTCCGTGCGGCGGTACATGCAGTTCACGTGAGTATGCCTTTCCTCTGATCGGAGATCCGCTGCGCAGGACTGCCGACTGTGATTCCGGCCAACGTGTGCATGTTGTAAGAGGCGCGAAAGGCTGAAAGCGGCCTAAACGATGTGTCCAAGCATTTGGAATCCAGTGAACTTTGTAACATCGCTTTATCGCCCTGACCCCAAAGCCGTGTTGCAAAGCCGTCACTTGCTTTTGCACTCGCGCTCACAGAACGTTTAGAGAAAGCTGTTTCAGAACCGTTTCGCTAACATGAATGCGCAATCGATATTTGCAATAATGCTTCTCATGGCTGTCATACAAAAGAGACCCATGGTTCGGCGAGCCTAAAATCACTCGCTTCACAGCCTGTGACAGCCAAAAATATCCAGTAAGAAACCCCATCGCGTTGCGAATTTTCACCAGGTTAGCTCCTCAACCAACGATGAAGTGCTGATATGTCTCAGACGTCAGTACGGATGGCTTCCAGTCCCTTGGTCGTGTGACGTGGACGTGACCATGGGAAGCGTACCATCGGTGGCCCGCAACCGCTGCCTCAATAACTTCACTACTTTTGGAAATCAACAGAGATCCCTAAGCAGTTGAAGCTTATGAAGTAGGTCCCTCTTCGCTTTGCAAGGCGACTGAGTACTAAAATTTCGCGACATTTCGAACTTGCGCGGTACCTCTGTGTGTGTGTGTGTGCGGGGCCAGCATGGCGGCAATGCTGGGCCATGTATTGTCCACGGCCAATACCGTGCGCAGGATGGCCACGGGGGAGGCGACTGCCGCAGCAGGTACGCAGAAACAAAGGGTCCAATTATTGAAACGCCGCGCGACTCGCTTCTTTCCCGACGCGGTGCCGGCGCGGTTACTTGAGCTCTCTGAATGTTATTGTGCGCGCTTCCAGTGTTTGTTTTTCTCATACGGCCGTTGGGGGTTTGCCCCTCCTTGGCAACCCCAGCTCCATAATTTCTCACCCGCATATCACCTGATGTGTGTACCATGAGCCCAAGCGAATGATTAGCGCAAGCAAGGGAACACTAGCTTGAGTCGGGGCCAGAGGTGGGCCCCCGGTTCACGCCGGGATTGCACCTGACGTCCAAGCTTGCAATGGACACGCACATCAACACGACCGTGAAGATAGCCCGGGCCACTCATCGTCTCGCCATGCCCGTTAGGCTTTATGCAGGGCCCCAACAAACGGCCCGCAATACTATCTCCCTGCCCCGGCTCGCAGCAGTTTCCAAATCAAAACCCCCGTTCCTTTCCCTCCATCCCTATCCCAGAGGAGCAACACAAGCTAACTGATTTCCTAACGACGCTGGTAACCTATCCGGCGCTGTACATCTTTGCAACTGCCAGTGCTTCGGAACCTCTGGGCGGCGAGGTGGCGGTGAGGCGGCTCTGCGTCCTGACGGGGAGGGGCGGGGAAGGACCCAGGACACCGGAATCAGGACCGCGAACCAGCCGGGTTAGCGAGAATATTATGGACAAGTTATGGTGTAAGAACCCGCAGTTTGCGGGTGGACATGGGGGGTGGGGCGCACTCCGCACGGACCTAGCTTTTCCACTGGCGTGCACCATCGCTGCATAGGACCCCCACGGTGCTGTACGCTACCGTACGTTACGACACGATACGGGCTGACACCAGCATGTTGACGGCATCAAATCCAAAATTTACAACCCACAACTCGCTAATGGTGGTGATATGGTGAGGTGAAGGGCAAGGTGGAATGCGGCGCGAGGCAGGCACAGATGGGCGCACGACCCGGGAGAAAGTGAGGGGGGATGGGTATTGGGTAGTCGGTAGCTCGCACACGTCCTCCCTGCCTGCGGCGCCCGTGATTTGGCCGCCTGCAGCCCGAGGCCGTACATGCCGTGGGCAAGGGCCGCCGCGCCGGTGCAACGGCTGCCGCAGCGGCGGCGATCAAGAGCATTGCCCCGCCGATCCTGCTCGGTGGCAGCGGCGGGGGGGCAGCGATTGAGGATGTGGCGGGACCCGTGATGGCGCTGGCTCCGGAACCTCGCTACCGGCTGTCCGACTTCCCCGAGGGGCGTGCGCTGGTGGCGCTGGAGAGGTGTGCGCCCGGAGCATCACCTCCGGCATGCTGTGCGCTGTGCGTTGTGCGCTTCGTGCTGTACAAGAATATTGCTCAGTGCGGACGAGTTAAGTTTCCTCTTTCGCTGCCTGCCTGCCTGCTGCACCTCCGTCCCGGCGTGTTGCCCTCCTCCGCAACCCGCAGCTACTCTACTTGACCACCCTAGCCACGAACGGCGTCTCGCGCGGAGGCCGAGCGAGCCCTCCATCCTGCACGTATCCCTTCCTGGCGCCGCACATCACATCTTCCCACACGCACGCCCCATCCCGCCCGGGATATCTCGCGTGTGGCTGCAGGTGGTGTCGGGAGCCCGTGTTCCTGAGCCTGGGCGTGGAGCTGTGGGCGCACAGCCGAGAGTACGCTCGGGGCTTCATTGCGGCGGGGGTGGCACCGCCTTGGTGGGTGCGGGATTGGAGGGGAAGATGAACCCCACGAGCGAGTGAAGCTGATGCCAAGGAAAAACTGTTGCGGCGGATGTAAAGAAAGGCAGAACTAACCAATCGGCGGTTGTGAAGAAGCCGTCCTCGGGATGATGTAGAGTGATGACGACAGCGGAAAACTACCTACATAGCCGCCAAGACTAAAATAAGAGCGGAAGAAGAGCAGTAGAACCAAGCCGTAAAAAAGGTAGGTGTAAAGGCGGCGAAAGAGCAATAAAAACTGACGTGAGAAGAGAAAAGGATGACGTGAGATGAAATCAAGTGGGTTGGATTGGAGGATTGGGGGCCGGGGGAGGGTTCGGAGCTGGGTTTAGGGAGAAGGCTAAAGGGGGTTGGGAGAGGAGTTGAAAGGGAGCCGGAGGTCGGGTGTGTGTTGGGGCCAGGCGGGTGTTTCGCGGAGATGTGGTCGCGTTGGTGCAGGTGGTGAGGGGGCGCGTGGGTGCGTGAGCTGGGGCTGCGGAGGATGCGGCACGAGGGGTTGTTGCGGATGACAGTGCGGGGTGCGTGGAGAGCGCTTAGCTTTGTGCGGTACGCGTTAGGACCTGGGAGGGGACAGTGTCCGCGTCAAACAATGCAGTGGTAGTGCGAGGAAATCGTGAAGGGGCCGGGGAGGGCCGTGTTGTGTTTTCACTTTGTTTTCCACCCTCCCTTTTTGCAATCGCTACCACGCCACCCCGTATTGCTGCCCGCCCTCCATTCACACCTGTCGTACAGGCTGGCCGGCAGCTTAGGCCCTTGGTTGGAGTCCTTCCCTGACGCCGCCCCCCCCTTGGGGCTGGAGGGGGTGGTGGAGGCGGCTGTACGGGAGGCCAGGGAGGGGGCTCGGGCGGAGGAGGAGAGTATGGCCGCGGGTAGGGAGGCGCGAAGGGGGGGATTGCACGGCACGCGTAGGTGCAGGATGTGTGGGGGGTTAGGGCGGGAGGGGGGGAGGGAGGGAGGGCAGGAGGGAGGGAGGGAGGGAGGGAGGGAGGGGGGGAGGGGGTTTAGGGAGGGAGGGAGGGAGGGCGGAGGGAGGGAGGGCGGGAGGGAGGGCGAGGGGCCGGGGGGGATTTGGGAGATACTGCTGCAGCGGGAGGGGGGTCCCGCTGGGCAGCCCAGGTTTTGGGGTTAAGGAAAAGTTATCTGCCACCCCTCGGCCAGCCTTTCGTGGGCAGTGTCCTGGCGGCTTTCTCCAAGTAACCCCTGGGGTGCTGCGGATACACACAGTCGTACGACTGCACAATGTTGGGAGATTTCTTGGGGGGGCTATGGCTTCTGGAATGACGGCCTGCCGCGTCCTTGCTTTGGACGGCGGCATTTGGATTTTGTACCATGGTATAGTTTCCCCCCAACCTCCTCTTCCTCTCCACCCGGCGGGATCGGCGGGACGAGCGGCGATGTGGCAGCTACTGCTACTGCTACTGCTGTTACTGCTGATGCCGTTACTGCTACTCCTGCTAGTGCTAGTGCTGTTACTGCTACTGCTGCTACTGTTACTGCTGTTACTGGTATTGCGGTTATTGCTACTGCTACTGGTGCTACCATTCCGCATGTAATGTGTTGTGATGTGGTGCATGTATGTATGTGAGTTGTCAGGTGCTGGTCCCACGGTGGCGGGGGGTCCGGCGGCGGTGGGGTGGGAGGGCGGTCTGCCGCTGCGGCGTCTGGCGGCGGCCGCCAGCCCCAACCTGGCGCATATCAGTCGTCAGCTGCAGCAGCGCTACCGCCTCACGCGGGGACGTACGTGGCTGGAGTTTGCACAGGTAGGGGGGAAGGGGGGAGGGGAGGCCAACAGAAACACCGTGTGCCTCCCCTAGGGTGGAGATCCTTCGTCTGCTTCTTCAAGTCCCCAATCCGTAGGTCCTCAGCGGTCGGGGAGTGTGTGTGTGTGTGTGTGGTAAAACCTACATCATCTTGGAACGCCTCAGGGGCCTCCCTAGCTCCGGTTGGTGTTCACTTGGGACGAGGGCCCACCCCGCACCCCACCCCCCACCCCGCACCCCACCCCCACTCTACACTCCACACCCCGGCAATGAGTGGGTGCTCGCTCGCTCGGGACGTCGACAAGGCTGTAGGTCATACCGGTGTACTTTAGCATTAGCATAGAATCCTTCATCAGCCATACATGCATACATACACCCATACATGCATACATACATACAAACGCTCGTCGCGCCCCCCGTTCCCCATCCCTCGCGATTTCTAGATCTTTCTGGGTATTTTCCGTTCCTGGTTGCGGCTCGTTGCTGGCTGCTTCTCGCTGGCGGCCATGATGTTGCGGCTGCTGGGTACCGGGGCCACCGTGCTGAGCGGGGCGGTGGCCTTCACGGTCATCTTCTCCATAGCGCTGTCGGTGCTGTCGGCGCTGCTGACGGTGGCGGCGACTGCGGCAGATGCCATCGGCTCACTGCTACGGTGGGTGGTGGCTGGGTGGTGGCTGCGTGGGGTTCGAAGGCTGTGGGAGGGAGTTGAAGGTGCGAGCGGATGGGAAGGGAACCTCTACGTGCAAAACCCTGAGGAAGCAACAACAGCAACCGGGTCGTATGAGGGTTGGGGTTGGGGGTTGGGGGTTGGGGTTGGGGGGTACGCGGTCACATACCCACACGCACGCGCACGCAGCACACTTGAGGTTGGGCAACCGGGGCGTCGTTCCGCCCCCCTGCCCCCCCCGCCCGTCCACGTGCTGGACCACACATCGCATCACATCACGTGTGCGGTGTTTATTGTGTTGTTTAGCTAAGTAATTACGTAGCTAAACAACACAATAAACACAGCGCAGCCCACATGAGAGGCCTTCTGTCTCTGCTCTCTTTCCCTCAACCGCATACCCCCGCCTCTGTCCCCGCAAGCCTACACGCTGTCTCACGGGGGCCCCCCGGCCCTTCCCCCCCGGCTCCCCTCCCCCCTCGTTCGGGGGCCCCCACGGCCATTGCGGCGGGCGGAGCCGCAGCGGCCTGGCGGGTGCGACGGAGAGTGTGTACAGCCGCAGCAGAGGAACCACTGTACGACAACAACTGGAGGGAGATCTGGTTAGGCGGGGGAATGAACGGGGGACATCTGGGTTTAGAGTCACCCAGGGCTGTACGGCACTTGACTATTTGGAGGGGTCCCTAGCAGCACAGCTAGAACTGACTCGTACACGCACGTGCGGTACGGCTGTACGGCACACCCACAACCCCCCTCCTGGGGCATCGTCTTTTTGTACGAGCGTGGCTGCCTGCTCGAATCACGACAAATGTAATTGATATCTGCGCCGTTACGCGCTCCGGTTGTGTGTATACGTATGTTTTGTGTTTTTATCCTCTTTCTCCCCCTCCTCCCTCTCCCCCTCCTCCCTTCTCTCCACCGGTCCTACCCCCTCCTCCTGCTCGCCGCTTGTGCCGCCTGGCCAGGTGCGTCCTAGCGGGTCCGGCTTTGTCTTTTGTTGGTTCGCGCTACGTCGGCGTAGGCGCTAGCTGGGTTAGGTTGGTTTGGGTGTGTCAGGCCAGGGGCGTATTAAGGGGGGGGGGCGCTGGGGGAACACGTGCATACAAGCTAGCAAGCAGCGTAGCAGCACAAACATTAGCAGGATTATAGTTTACTATTTTCGCCACCACGTCGGCATAGACCCCCGGTTACTTCACAATACATGTTCCGATACCTTTTCCTCTTCGCCGCCTTTAGTCCCTCACCATCACCACGGTTTCCTTTGCTTTTCTGCGCTCTTTAAAATGGCTTTCCCTTCATCCCTGCGGCGGCTATGTAGTCTTTTTGCTTTTTCGCCTTCTTTGCCTTCTTTGGACTTCGGACTTGGCAGCTACAGTAAGTAACTCGTCTCTCGCACCCTAGCTGGCCGCGTCGCCGCCGAGACCACCATTCAAGTCAGCATTGGTCAGTAAGTATACATGCTGTTAGTAGCTGTCTTCTTCTCCCGGACTATGTGACTATGTCCGTCTACTTCTGGTATCTGCTTCATTCGCCAGTGGTTCGCCGTCTCCCCCCTCCTCCCCCCCCTCCCCCCCTGCAGGTGGGTCCACGGTCCCTGGACTCCGCCAGCTTCGAGGAGCTCGAGGACTTGTTCATCTCCCAGCTGGCGCCCCGACTGCGGCTCAGGTGGGGCTCAGAGGGCAGGGGCCCTCAGGAGTACGGCAAGCTGGGAGGCTATCCGGGGGGGGGGAGAGGGGGTTGGGGGTTTAGAGGCGGGGTGCGGTGCTGAGCGGAGGGAGTGCTGGGGGTAGCCCTCGTGTTGGCTGGTGCCGTACAAATGCACCAATAGGATATTAGTGGCCCACGCGAGGGCGGAGTGCAGTGCATTGACAAGACTGACGATGTCAGTTAAGACTCGGTAGAATACAAAAGTTAAGCCGCAATTATGGGGTGGGTGGGAGAGAGAGAGGTAAGGGCCCCCCTTCACTTGGTGGCGCCCCGCCCGGGTCCCGCCGCCGCCAGGTCCCGGCCCGACGCGGCCCGGCTGGCGGGCGACCCCTTGCTCCTCCGCGCGTACGACCTGCGGCTGGTGGATGCTAGTGGCGGAGTGGTGGCGGACGATGCAGCGGCGGTGGAGGTGCGCTTCGAGACGGGCGGCTTTTTCGGTCTGGCCTCCGCCGCTGTCCGCAAGGTGCGAATCAACGGCGTGTAGTCGTCACATGGGGGCCCCGGGGGTTGCGGGTGGGCGCATCGAGATTACAACCTTATTGGGGGCCTGTGCAGGTGTGTAAGGGGTCTCTGTTTTACAGATTACATGCAAAGGATTAATTAAGGATTTCCCGGCTGCTGCTGCTGCTCTTGCTGCTGCTGCTGTTGCGGCTGCGTCATCGTTCGGTTTGTCCGTAGGTGCCTAGTCAGCATGGTCGCCGGTCTTGACTCCATCCCACTTTAAATACCCGCACATGCCGCATGTCCCCAGGCCGGTGCGGTGCTGCTGCTGCGGCTGCTGGCGTGGAAGCGTGTGGGGCTGTGCTGCGCCTCGTCGGAGGCCCTCAAGTACGTGTTCGTGCTGGGGGCCCGGGGCGCGGGCCGCACCACCGCCTTCGCAGCGCTGGCACACCTGCCGGTGGATTACCAGGTGGGGCCTCTACGGTGTGGGAGGTCTTAAGGGGTGGAGGTCTAGGGGCGAGCTGCCCGCTAGAGAGGGCGGTGCGGGTTGGGAAGCTGGCCATAGGGGCCCGGGGAGGATGGCGAGGGGAGTCAAACTTAAGCTTCAATGGCTTTGGCTTCGACGAGGTTGCTTCGTTGGCCCCGCCGGTGGCCTATCTTAGGCAGTGTCGTAGATACCTGAAGCCCCCTGACTCCCTGATTTGATTCTGGTTTGGTTTGGTTTGTGTGCAACTGCCGTTTGGGGGCGGTGGTGGTGGTGGTGGTGGCAACCCGCAGGTGCCATCCAGTGTGTCAGCTGAGATAAGGCCCATCCAGCGCCTGCCGGGTGCCTATGCCGTCATTGCATCGGGACTGGAGTCCCCGGACCCACGGGTCACGGCGAGGGCGTCACACTTCGCCAACCTGGACCATGGTGCGGGGGCTGCGGGGGGCTACGCGGCTGGGGTGAGGCCCTGGGCCTGCGGCGCCTAGCTGTCTTGTTGCCAAGCACCTGAAGACCTGAAGCCAGGGGGCACGGCAGTCCCAACAGTCCAGGGGCGGGGGACAGCGGGCGGGGAGCAATGAGGGTAGCCGTGCTTCCCCGAATCATGATATCCTGTGTAGGAGAAGCTGCACAGGGCGCACACGACGACCTCCAGCAAGCAGTGTCAGGTTTGGGGCAGCAAAACCGTATGGTGTCGGACGAAGGGCGTGGCACCGCCAAACGTTTGGTGTGCAGAGGTCTTTATGACCCCCCTCTCCCGAACCTTCTCTGCAGCTCCGCTAAAGTTTCCGCTGAGTCCCCTGACTCGTTTAAGTCCTCCTCCCTCCCCCTTACTGCTCTCTTCCAATACCTCCTCCTGACTGGGGATTCTCGTGCCCTTGCTCTCCCTCCCTGGCCGTGTGCAGGCGTGTTCTCTGTGTTGGTGTACGTTGTGAGTGTGGAGGCCGACCCCGTCCCCGAGCTGCTGGGCCCCGCCGTGTGGCAGTCCCTGGCGGCCCACAAGCCCACCCTCCTGCTGGTCAGCAAGGGCACCAAGCTCACGGAGCAACTGCTGGTGAGGAGTGCATGCAAAGGGCTGCGCCGGTTGCGTGTAGGGTGTGTGCATGTGCGTGACGTGTATGGGTGAAGGGATTGTGCACTGCTGCTGTGGTGGGTTTCAAAACGCTGAGCTGTGATGGGAAGGTGGCTGCGATGGGCGCACTGAGGGACGAGGGGAGGGGTGAGGGACGAGGAAGGAGAGTGGATATCGGGCCTGGAGGAGCCATTGACGCTGGCGAGGGCGCCCACGCGATACGCTTTCTAGTCATGAGAGTGCATAAGATGTGTGCGGCATTTGGGGGATATAAGAAAGAAGAGGACCCATATGTATGCGATGGGTGCGGGAGCGATGGCCGACCGGGTGCAGCATTTTGCCGTAAATAGTATTGCGTTTGGGGCGGCATAGCTGTATACGCAACGGTTATGGGTCCGTTAAGGTCCGTAGGCAGCAGGCCACGCGGGGCCCGAGTGCTGGTGCACGAGCTCTTGAGCTCTTTTCACCCTACGGACAGCCTGATGTATTTTACTATCCAGGACAGGCAATCCTCACTGCCAATCCCATGCCCTTGACCGGCCTGTGCACGACCACCTGACTTAGGTGGAGCCGCGAGCCGTGGAGAAGCTAAAGGCCAGCTGGCAGGCTGTTCTACACGAGGGCGCGGCGCGACGGGGCCTAGAGGCCGACATGGCGGCGGTCCTGGTGGCGGAGATGCGCGATGCGGCACCGCCGGCGGGCGTGGCTGGGCCACAGCAAGTGCGCGACTGGCTGGGGGCGGCTCTGGAGGGTGCTACCACACGCTGAAAGCATATTCTCTCGACTGTTATAATGGGTTGGCCACTGGCTTGTTAGGGCACGTGTGAACGCGGATCTTTGTGCATCTCATTTGCGGTGACTGGCATAAGGTCTCAGTATAGTTTGTCTAGCGAGCTGCAGGAAGCGGTACGTTGGCAGGCGGGGATTACTTCCTCACGTGCCTGCTTATGGTGTACTTCAACGCAATTCCATGAATTTGCTTGCGGAGCGGACAATGGTACCTGCTCAAACCCGGCGGTAGCAAGTGTGTTGACAAACGTTGGCAATATCAGCTGGGAACATGTTCGGCGTTGCTATCAACCCAATCGGTGCAAATAATGTTTGCTCGATTTTCAGTACCTTTGATCGCTCATGTACCTTTGGTTGAAATTCGCTGGGAAACAAGTGGTACGGCAAGTCCGGTCGCATCCAAAGTGAAAACTTGTGCGCTTTACCTGAGGCCAGCCTCAGGTTACTGTAAGACAATCACCATCCACCAGATTTAAGTATAACAGGCTGTCAAGTCGAGTTGAGAAAATTATTGCAGAACGATCCTTCTGTTGCAGAACGCATTTGGCATGGCGCGACCACTGTTAGGTCTCCTGTTAATCTTAGCTGTAGTAGGAGTGAAATCTAAAATTCACAACAGCGTGGTTGAGAAGGACGACCGCAGACTCATTCCACTGACGGATGCGTTCGGTTTCGCTGAGGGCGGAAAGCTGGACATCACTATCCGCGATATTGCGCTCTACCGACTGCATGGAAGCGTGGATACCATAGACAGTGAGAAATTCGGGTTCTTCTTGTCACCTGTCGAGGCGGATGCTGCGTTGGAGCAGGAGCTAGCCGACGACGCGGGGTGCATCCTCGACCAAGTCACTAACCTGTTCACATTTAAAGACTCGTCGGTCCAAAATGTCATCAACGGCAACCTCACGGAGTTCTCCTTCCACTTCGTCGTCCAGAATGGCGGACTTTTCTACTTGTACTTTGCCAATTGTGAAGAGGACACGCCAGTTTCTTTTACCAGTATTATTGAGATGTATAACCTCAATAGCAAGGGTAGCAAGGACTATCTCTCAGTTGGAGACACTTCTCTGGACGCCGTGTACTGGGTAAGTGTCTCACGACACCTGACTCTGGAAACCTAGCAAAACACAACCTGTTCCCCAGACCGCCTCCCCCTTGTCCTGCTGCTCTTGTAGGCCATGTTTGCATTGTTCACGCTATCGACCATCGCCTGGGCAGTGTGGGTGTATCGCAACAAGCAGTATGCCCAGAAGGTCCACTACTTTATGTTCGCCCTGGGCTGCTTCAAGGCGATGACATTGCTTTCTCAGGCGCTCATGGTCTACTATATTGAGCGAACTGGGTCAGCGGATGGGTGGAATATTGTTTACTACATCTTTACGTTCTTCCGTGGTATTCTGTTCTTCACCGTCGTGGTCCTTATCGGCACGGGCTGGTCCTACATGAAGCCCTTCCTCGGCGAGAAAGAGGCACGGATTATCATGATCGTTATTCCCCTCCAGGTGTTTGCCAACATCGCCATTATCATCACCGAAGAGGAGAGCCCGTCGGTTAAGGACTGGTTCACGTGGCGGGATGTCTTCCACCTCGTGGACATCATTTGCTGCTGCGCGATTCTATTCCCCATCGTTTGGTCCATCAAGCACCTACGGGAAGCTTCGCAAACAGATGGGAAGGCAGCGCGCAACCTCGAGAGGCTGACGTTGTTCCGTCAATTTTACGTCATGGTGGTTGTGTACATCTATGTCACTCGCATTGTGGTGTACCTGCTGAAGAGCACCATGCAGTATGAATTCTCTTGGGTTAGTACAGCAGTGGAGGAGCTAGTCACTTTGGCTTTCTATGTGTGGACCGCGACGAAGTTCCGGCCTACTAATGAAAACCCGTATCTGAAGCTGCAGGGCGACAGCGATGTTTGAGTGAAGTGTTCATGTTGTTGCGGTTAGGGCATCTTTTACTTGGCGTTGGTTATTACACGAGGAGCGAGCTCAAGCATTGCGCCACAGGTACGTGCATTTTGAGGCGCCTCAAGCAGGGGCTGGGGAAAAGTCTTCCCAGGCGTGATGTCCCGCGTTCACCGTCCATACAGCGTGTGCGGAAGGTTGCCCTCGAAACGAACGATATCTGGTGGGGGCGTGTGAATTGAAACACAGACGCTGGGGACTCGGGTGCCCTTGGGTTATCTTCGAGTCGTTCGCCACATAGAGCCAGCCACTGCGCCTGCGCCGAAGACCAGGACCATCATCCAGGCCGGCAAACCTGCGCCCGCAGTGTGGTGGCGGCCACCCTGGCTTCTGCTGCCCCCGCTTGAAGGGGTGAGTGTCTCAGGTGTTTTACGTAACATAAACTTGGCCGTGGGATTCCGGGTTGTGCCGAGGATTTGTTCGGGGAATACTGTGCTGCAGCCGACAAGCTTCTTCAGGCGGTAGGACTTGACCACAAAAAGATTGACGGACGGAAATGCACGCTCGTATCTCTCAAGCAGCTGTGCGAGAGGCCCTGTCAGTTTTGCAGGGGACGCATGTGCTTGGTTTTAGGCGTGAGATCGATCTGCAGTAGTCAAGTCATGAGTTTAACTTACCAACTGGCTGAGAGCCACTAATGAGCCGACGCCGTAGGTATAGGTGATGAGAGGAATTGTACGACTGTGAGATGAGTCTTCGTGGAGGTAGTCTAGATAGGCTTGGTGATGCTTACCTGATGTCCAGGAAGATTTTTGTGAACGTTTTATTGAGTCGCTGCAGAGCTGAAATATCCCCAGCATCGATTTCGTAAAACGCTATGTCAGGATACCGCTTCTGGGCAACCCTCGTGTTGAATGGGCTCTTGTCAATTCCAATGACCTGTACCGTTTGAAGCGCATTAACAAATTCGAGTTAAGCTACTTCGGATGCACGGTCAGCTACAGTAGCACACCTCGGCGGCGTACTTTGCTATCACGCTTGTTGAGCATCCTTGCGCGGCCCCAGCTTCCAGGACTACATCACCACTGGAAACGTAATGCGGGACGCACCCGCGGTAGTCTTGAACTACAGGGACATATCGTTCGCGTTACAGACTCGAGGAGGCTAAAGATGAAACAATAAAACTTTACCGTTTTCCACTACGATGATTGGCACACCGCCTACGTCATGTCGATGCCCTCGGCCTGGCATTATATCATTTGCGTTGCGTGGAACTAAGCGACAGTCATTATCTGCGTGTAGCCTTGCGGTGAACAGTAAGTTGCACTTGGCCCTACTAGATTACAAATTGATATCTCGTTTCCTTTATGCTCAAACAATGAGCGCGAACAGCCTTCCTAGGGCGGCGTCTCGTCGTACTTCGGTTTTTGCAGCCTGCTTTATCCACTGTCCTGACCTGTATAACCTAAGCATGTACAACATATGTACCATAAATATAATGCTCTGTATACAGCTCGTTCGTACTGGCGGACGACGTCTCTTTGCAACACCGCTGTATACAAAACGCGCTCCAACTGCCACACCGGAAGTCGAGGCGGCCTGCGATATGGCAACGGGTATATGTTGCTGAGCATGGCTGCAGGCTTTCCTGGCTTATAGTTTGTCGCTTGTCGTGTCCTGACACTTACACGGCCACGCTTGCAGGGGCCAGGGTTACCCGCACTGGGCTTACGTGGCTAGGCTTATACATGCTTAGCTCACTCAAAGGCTCTGGCCGCTGCCTGGCTGCTTCCTGCCGTCCCTGATAGGTTGGGCTTTGACTGACGTTGCCTTCGAAAGCATTGCCGACTCGCTTGATTATGAGAGACTGATTTAGCTACAACGCAAAGTATCCGTTCTCCAATTGTTCTCCGCACTCTCCATCCCGAAGTGGCGTTCACGGCCGTAGTCGCTGCCTCGGCCTTTAAGTGGCCGCTACAAGCACTCTGGTTGAACTTGCCCGACTGGCCGCATTTGGTCATGAAACGGGGGCCCCCTTCACGTGGTGGGGGCCCGGGGGTTCTTCCCCTAAAGGGGAACTAAAGCCCCCCACCACGGAGACAGTGGTCCCAGGTCAGGATTCTTCGACAACTATCTACTACAACTACCTCGTGGCAGCTTTCAGCGTTATGGAGTTCCGGTGGTGTGTCGTGGCCCTCAGCAATAGGACCTTGTGGACTGGGAACCTAATCAATTGTTCCGTCCTTGATTGTGCAGACTTACAGTCCCCTACACACCCGGTACGTGCTCATCTTGCGGGCTGCCTTCTGCAGTGTAAGCCTCGCTATTTCCTCTACCTCCCCCAAAGGGACTGCTGAACAGACTAAATAGACTGGACTGCTGAATAGTCCTCCTACTCTATCCCAATTGCGTGCTGAGCTGAACTCCATACAGGCCGAGTTGTTGCATCTACCTCCGCATAAGCCGGTGTAGGCCTTCAGGGGAGCTGGTATTAACACACTCGTATTCATACTTGCCGACATCATGTCTCAACACGCGTCCCAGTCTTTGCTTTGCCCCAACCATAAAAACCTTTGTCCGACAACCCACGTTACCCTTGCAACCTGCTCTCCCCGGTGCAGCAGTCGGTCTGCAGTCAGTGCCACCTTCCCACCCATGGTTGTTAAGCTCGAAGGACGATCTCCAATACGAGGCGGCAACACCCCCTTGTGTAGCTGCCCATCACTTAGCTATCGTAGCTGCCTCGCCCCAACGTCACATAGACGGTCCCGGCGCAACTGGAACGCACCTGTCCTGCAGGTCCTGCAGCCTCTCATCACGCAACCACTAGACAACAGCGGATATCCACTCCCACTGAGACTGCAACAGCTATCTGCTGCAACGCTCTCGACTTTCGCCATGGGGGCCATGAAACCTGTATTATTTAATAGCGCAGCCAGTAAGACCGGCGGCGGAACCAATTATAGTCTGGCATGAACTGCACGTCTCCAACGGACGCTACCGCCATGTCCTGGTCGTAAATGAAGCGGTCCGCCACGGCCCGAATGGTATTGGCGTCTACAGCATCAATACGGGCGAACATCTCGGCCTTGGGGATGCGGCGGCCGTACACGAGCAGCTCACGGCCAATGGATTCCGCCACATCTACAGCCAACATTATAAAAACATCAGGGATCAGATGAAGCATCACGCAAGAAACAGTCGGAAGATTGTAATATGAGTTTGCAGGCTAAGCTGTGACAGCGCCATGCAGTACAACTTTCTTGGGACCATAACATGCATCTTGGTGGTATGCAAGCCCAGTCACCGTCTCGGTCAAGCCCCAGACCACCTAAGCTCGGGCATGCGACTTACGGTTAGTCGAATCCTGGAAGAACATGAGGCTGGCTTTGAGCTGGTTCTTGGCGCGCACCACATCCGCCTCCCGCACGTCAAAGCACATCTTGGTAAGGTGCGACATGATTGAGTACGCGAAATCCTCGCACCGGTCGCGGTCAGTCACACCGTACACGCCGAACAGTCCCGTGTCATGGTAGTTTGTATTAAAAGCCATGAATGCATCCGCCAAACCCTCTGATGCTACCGTCTGGACGAGCATGCTGCTGCTGTGCTTGCCAACAGTAGAATTCTTGTCCCAGGCGCCTGTCAACGTAAGATGCAGCACGAACGAGGGGCAGCAGGGATTTCCGTGCGAAAATACTACCTTTTGTACAAATAGGATTAGAGGTAATGCGCTCTCTTTCATGCGCAGAGCATGCACTCAACATTCTAACGACGCCCCCCATAACACTTTCTCCGTGCACCTGTGCCGGGTGCTCTTGTGGGAGCCACGCAGCCCTCCTATTTCCAACTGGCGGGCTAAACCCTTTCCTAGCCCCTCCCATTTGGCACGGCAAAAAGACACTCATGCCCAATCCCCTACATACCGACTGTAATGCCACTAGGCCTGTGCAACGGAGGTGTGCTCGGCTTTTCCAGACACGTACTCACCTAGCATTGTTTGCATGATCATCAGTGGAATGGAATCAGGGTCCGTCCACGAAGCCCCCTTGAACGCCACGGCCATGCAGCAGTCTGTCGCGTCCGGCCAGCGGTCGTGCACGTACGAGCCCGTGAAGCGGTAAGGTTCCTGCATAACAGCATCATGGTATTGCGCATGGAAACGTTACCGCCGCAGGACAAGGATTAAGGCAAAAGTAACCCCTACAATCCCAGGACTGTTTCCTAGCAAGAAAACAAGGGTTTGCAAGGAGGTGCCCCCCCTTGCCCGGACGGTGTTAGCGCCGTTATTGCTTATTGCGGCCGGTGAGCCGACTACAATTTGACCCGTCACTTAACCGGCAGATTCGTGTGAATGCTGGTGGTGAGCCCTAAACCCAAGCTTCACACTAACTCTGTTCGCAACCTGTGTATAGCCCTGTCTGCCAAAGCCACACAAACTGTGGTACGCCGTAGTTACGCTGCCCTGCGCACACCTTCGCGAGCAGTGACCGAACCGACGTGGTAGGGTCCTCATCGGGGATGGCACCGAACGCATCCGAGGCCAGCTTCACGAGCTCATCATGATTCACAGCGCCAGCAGCAGCCAGAACCTGCACAGCGACCACCGCATACAAGTTGAGAACCAAAATAAGCAGAGCGCCGTACAAACTCTACCCAAGCAAGATAATCGTCGGAAACAAATATAATTAAAGATGCGCAAGGAACCTGGCAGCCTCCTTGGCAAGGGAGTGTCTAGAAGTGCGTCTCCATCTTGCCTTGTTGTGCATGCCGCAAAAATCCTGAGCCCCATACAACGGGTATCCGAATGCTCTTGGGTGCAGGCAACACTCCGCCTCCACCGGAGGCAAGCTCACCTTGGCGAAGTAACATTTATATAGGACACGCATCATGGTTTTCCTTATGGTGGCCAGCCTGAGCTGCGTCTATGGTCGCTTTTCGCCCGCGTTTCCCAGCAACTCCATTGCCTCAGATGGCGTTAACCATTTCCCTAAATGCGAAATCCGCCCTCATGACCCTGAGACGGAACCCAGCCATTTACATGACGGCGGAAACCCGTTACCGTGTGGAGCCTGGCTCTGCACAACACGTTTGCCCACATACCATGCGCGGCCCACGGTAATGCGTCTTCATGTACTCCACGAGCTGGTCGCGGGTAATGGACTTAATATTCTCCACGGGGCCCAGAATAGTGCGGCCCAAGGGGCTGTACTGGAAAGCTGTGGCGTGCAGGTGGTCGAACACCAGTTCTGAGGACTGCTTGTTCACCTGCAAGACCCAAGAACCCCGGCACGGGTATTATAAGAAGCATGTCCACACAACCGAGTAACTGCAATATGTTGCCCTCGCACCTCCTCCATTTCCCGCAGAATGACGTCGCGCTCCCGGTCGATGGCGCGCGCATCCAGGTTGGAGTTGAGAAGGATGTCGGACAGTATGTCGACAGCCTTTCCCACATCCTTCGCCATGACTTTGGCATAGTAACACGTCTGCTCACGGCCTGTGTATGCGTTCAGCTGACCGCCCATGTTCTCCACCTCCACCTCGAGGTCCTTCACGGTCCGCTTCTGCAAAACCGCGTTTACAGCCAGTTCATGAACATGAAGTCGAGAACTTTACAGGGGATAACTCAAGCTGCAACCTGCCTTGGTACCCTTAAACAGGATGTGCTCAAGAAAATGAGCCACGCCATTGTTGGCATCATTTTCGAAGCGGCTGCCGGAGTTGATCCAGATACCCAAAGTGGTTGTCTCCGCGAAAGGGATCGACTCCGTAGCCACTCGCAGCCCGTTTGGCAAAGTGGTTATCTGCCATCAAGCACGGCAGCACAGATTTGACGCACAAGCTGACCAAGTCGTAGCATTCGCTCAAAGCCGCTTATGATAAGCATATGCGCCAAACTCAAGCCATCCCGGCGCGGTAACACCCACCCGGGTCTCCGGAAGCGTGCTAAGTAGGGGCGTATGGTCGATGGGACTAGGCCGAGGGTTGCTGAAGCGCAGGAATGGATTGCCGTCTGTAGCAATGACGTCCTTAGCAGCAGTTCCAAAGGCGCGCAGCGCTAGGGCGCCGGCATCCTTCTGAAGACGGAGAATTTGCTTCAAAGACCTCATCTTAGCCCCGTCTACGAGGTAAACTGTGGAAAGGGCCCGTTCAGGGCTTAACGCTCTGCACCGGCGTCTGGTCAGCAGCGCGTAATACAATAGGAAAGAGAAGTCGTACTTTGGTACGTACACCCTCAAAGTCACAAACTATTACACGGTATTTCCTCACAGTATGCAATTGTAGGCCTGTCTTTATCATAGCTATTTCGTGGCCAACCTCATAACTAACTGCCAAAAAATCTAAACTTGGTCTTGGGCTCCGCTCTTTCTGACGCAATTGACTCATTGCATTCATGCAGCAAGTCATGATGTCTTTGGACCCCTTCGGCTTGGGCGTGCATAGGCACAGCTCCGAATACAGTCTGCGTTATCCGCCACTTATCGGTAGGCTTTCGGCTCCCAGCTAGCGCCAATAACTCATGTCCAGTAACTTGAATATCCGCCTTCGTGCGCGTTAGGAATGTCCAGAGTAGCTAGGATATCGTGGGGAGCAACGTTGGTGCCTTGCCTCAAGCACACGTCCTGGTGCCTGGTATGAAGCCCATGCTTCACTCCTGGGCCCTATGCAAGGATGTCACAGATCAGGGCACCTCGTCCATTATGTTCCGTGATTTGTTCGCGCTCATTCCTGAACAGCTGAACCACTGTACGATGTCACATTCTCTTATTTTCGTATGATGAGTTTCGTGTGGATGAATCCGGCATTGGAGCGATGGGTGGCTGAGGGGAGGGGTATGTAGGCCCCGCTCCACAACTCACAGGGAGGATTGCCGATCGCTTGCATTCTCGTCATCTCTCATTCAGCTTTTGGTGGGCTCTGTATGCTAGCTTTTATCTTAAGCCCAAGGCGTTCATGGTAGTCCCTGTGTTCGTCAGCATCCATCCATGATCCTTCTGTCCGCAGATGTTGTCAAACAATCATCACGAGATTAAATGCTGTTCGTCATGACCCTCCCTTTGATGGCGAACCTTTGCGGGCCAGGATAACCAGGATGGAAAATTCAAATGAATACGGCCGTGCCAGCTGACACCTTTTTTCCAGCAAATTGATAGGAAGTCCGTTATGTGGCGTAACGATGTTGCATAGCATTTATCATTCCGGTGCTGGAAGTCTCGGTCACCAAAAGTTGACCAGAGCACTCTGAAGGTAACTTGAAGATTTATATGATAGGGTGGTGCTTAATAAACCGTCATTAAAATCAGTATCGGGAACTTATGGTACTTTTTAAACCTTCTGGCCCCGCACCCAAGCCATGAGGTGGTGTAGTGCTGGGGAACCCCTTTGGGGGAGTCATCCCCAAAGGGTTTCTAAAGGGTCACCCAAAGGTTTCCCATTTGGCTGTCCCTAAGACCCTAAAAACCCTAAAATGGTTATTGATTGTTCTAGAACACACTGAATGCCAATAGCATGGAGCATGAGTCTCTTGATGCCATGATTTACCTGATGAAAATGAGTTTATTACACTCTGGTAATGTTGTACCACGACTTCAGATGGGTACCAATCGGCGGATACAGATCCCGTGATGCGCCCAGAATATAGCATTTATTCCCCTCCAATTGAGGGCACTCACGATCTTGACCTTTTCCAGGGTCTGGATGCTGCCACCTCCACCTGGATGATCAGGGGTCGGGGGCCTGCCACCTCCCGCCAGAAACCGCATCAGACAAGATTTATTTGAATCTGGATCTGAACTGTATAATACTTGATACAAATTGTTGCACCACGACTTCAGAAATGTACCGATCCGCGGCTGCAGACCTCGGATCCCATGATACACCCAAGATACAAGATTTGTTCCCCACTCCCAGCAATGGCGAATTCAAGCCGCGGAAATAAATATCAGAATTAGTCAGCCCTGTAAACATAGACAGTAAATGTAAACAGTTTTTTGTTAGTTACAGCAATATTTATGAAGACCGAGCAGATCGGCAAACAGTTAGCTATGAGACAAGTACCATGTCCCCAGGGGGCAGCGGTTTTGCCACTGTTGTGGTACTAATAGCCGAATCGAGGATGAAAAACACGTGTTATTGGAATGCCCAGCCTATAATGACATTCGTGCTGAAGAGGGATTCGATCATCAACAGATCATGTTGGAGGCCATGAAATGGGAACCCGCACATCTGGCGAGGATGTTGGAACATATGTGGGCTCACCGAAACTCAGTTATCCCCTTTGGACGCTAGTCTGGGCTGATGTGCGGTGTTTTCCTTTCCTCCGTGGCTTTTAGGCGTTGTAGTATTGCCCTTGGGCCTTCGGCTCGTATGGGTAGTCTTACAGGTATGGGGTCACGCACCCCCAACCATGTAAAATACACACACACACACACACACACACACACACACACACACACACACACACACACACACACACACACACACACACACACACACACACACACACACACACACACACACACACACACACACACACACACACACACACACACACACACACACACACACACACACACACACACACACACACACACACACACACGCAAAGTTGCGAGCTGGTTCCCAGCTGTTATGCTCGGACGAGTACCCACCCACTTGACTAAGCACTCATGAACACTGAACTTGCACTGAGCTGTACCCACAAACCTGGCCCGGTCGTCCAAAATATGATCAACGACGTACATGGTGGGCTTACTAGACAGCCAAGTAGTGGGCCCTGCCTCCATAGCAGCTGGAGGAGCAGGTGCTGCCAGTGGAGGCGCAAACCCACGGTATGGACGGACCAGAGATACGCGAAAGGTAGGATGGACATGTAGATGAGAAGGCAGTTACACCCTTACCCTTAAAAGCTTTTAAACCCTGAAAAGCCCTAAAACATTAGATGCTGCATACTTCTGTTGGGTGCGTTACAACTTTGCGTGTGTGTGTGTGTGTGTGTGTGTGTTTTACATGGTTGGGGGTGCGTGACCCCATACCTGTAAGACTACCCATACGAGCCGAAGGCCCAAGGGCAATACTACAACGCCTAAAAGCCACGGAGGAAAGGAAAACACCGCACATCAGCCCAGACTAGCGTCCAAAGGGGGTAATTGAGTTTCGGTGAGCCCACATACGTTCCAACATCCGCGCAAGATGTGCGGGTTCCCATATCATGGCCTCCAACATGCTCTGTTGATGATCGAATCCCTCTTCAGCACGAATGTCATTATAGGCTGGGCATTCCAATAACACGTGTTTTTCATCCTCGATTCGGCTATTAGTACCACAACAGTGGCAAAACCGCTGCCCCCTGGGGACAGCTAGAGGGTAGGACACAAGGTCGGGGAGAGCAATTCTTTGGACTGCCCCGGTCGCACAATTCCTGTGCTTCCCTAATTCGACACCCCGAACAGGCCAATTCGGCACCTCGGACAGGCCAATTCAGGCCCAGTACAGCCCAATTCCGGGGCTCCACAGCGCAATTCGAATATCTCCGGCGAGCCTGCCAGAACAATTCAAGACCCTGACGGACCAACTCTTTTGTCAGGAATAGAATCCAGGCTAATTCTGCGACAGAGCTCTTCCCCAATTCCAGCCCGGATCCTACCCTCCTGGACAACTTTGCGTGCCGGTCTAACAAATGTGCCACCTTCACTGCCCTCTTCTCTTGCGACAATGGTATAAGCCCCCAGCAGAGCCGTTCGTCCCGTTCCTTTCCAAGCAACTTGAGCACGTCAGCCTGCCGCTCAGCTTTGCCAGCTTAACAAGCCAGAAACATCTAGAGTACCAGAACTGCTGCTCTTACCGCCGGACATTGGAAAGGACGTCCGAAGAGTCGCTAAAATGTGATGAGCTATTCGCATATCACAAACACTTATACATCTCACTTAACGCATTTTTAGCCTGCCTCTATTTGCAAGCTTTCTGGTGTACATGTGATGCAGCTCCCCTGCTGCTGGTTATGACGCTGCTGACAGCCGCTTTACATACAGCTGCTGGCTTGTTTACACCTCCTACTAAATGAATAACACATGCATTATGATCGTGGGCATATCAAGCAAACGCGGCATGACTGTTCCATTACGCCCGCCATTGTACTAAACACTGCTGCCAAAGACAAGAACAGATAGCATTTTTTCATCAAAATAAAAAATTATCACATGGCAAACTTTACCTCACTTTTGCAATTACAACTGCGTAAGTACCCACTGGCGCTTTGCTGCGCGTGTGCCTTCGATGCTCGAACACCCCAAAACCTCTAATCCATACCGGTTGTCAACCACCAATTAATCGCTGCTTCTATATGTTGCAAATTTAACTTGGCCAGGCCTTCATCCTTGACTGACCAGTGTATGGAAATACCCGACTGCTGATTGCCTACTTAGGTTTTTTTTCACTTGTCACTTGGATTAAGGGGGTGTTTCCGCTTGGATTAAAAGTCACGTATTAAGGCTAAATCCTTCACATATGGAAGCATAGCGCGGATTAGGCGGATTAAGGTTGGCGGGATTAGTTAGAGTTCTACGCCCGTACTCGCGCGCTTTGCGAATTAAATATAGATTAATATGTTGTATAATGCGCACATTCTTCCTAAAAGCTAAAAACTCGGTGAAAAACATTTGCTACTTGGTGGCCACCAAGTAGCAAATGTACAATGTCAAATTATCCCGAATTACAACGTCTCATAAGAAAAACCTCATTGATATCTTGGAAGGTTAACTCTATAAAGGCTGTAGGTGTTCCGCTTCTTGTTTGACCACACCGTGGGTATCGTTCGAAGGCGCTGCAAGGCCTTCATGTTGATACCCGATAGTCTTTTAAACGCCTTGCAGTACTCTGTTTTGCATTTTATGCACGGATTTGTATTTTCAACCCGTTCCTTAGGTGCGGATTACAAATACCTTCCCTTGGTTAAAGCAGGTTCCGCACCTCCCCCACAGGGTACCACTTCCGATTGTCGACGTCAGGGAATTTCCGATCAGCCCTTGGAACTTTTGCTTTCACGGCTCACTTCCCATTGCCTGGCCCCCACTGCTCGATCGATCAACACCACACCCGCAAGAGCCTCGTGTGTCCCCCGCCTCCTCCCGTGCTCTCGCCTCCTTCGACACGACACCGTTAGTCCTCGGCGGTTATCATAACGGGGTTGACGTTGGTTACATACGTGGGAACCTGAACGCCTGGCAAGGATGCTGGAACGCATATGGTCCCACCGCAACTCTATCGTTCCCTTTGGTCGTTAGTATCCTTCATCACTTGTTTCGTTGGAAGTGCGAGGTAGGATGGTGCTTATAGGCGATCTGGCAGCCCTTGAGCCCCCGGCTCGTATTAGGGTGGTTTGCAGGTACGGGGAACGCACCCACGACCATGTAACAACAACAACAACAATAACATACATACATACATACATTTAGTCGGTTGTGCGGCTCAGTGACGCGCCTTAACCTAACATGCACACACGCCGCGTATAGAGGGACATCTGCAACTTTTCACATGCGCTGAAATACCCACAGCAGTCTACCTGTGGTAACGAGCATCAGAAATCCCGCGTGTGATATTGTTCCTAGCGGCTGAAGGAAACGGCGGAGCTAGCGCTACCCCGCTTCATACCTTTTGGATCTCATACTTATTAACTATCCTTACTAGGCTAACACATTTTGACATTGCTTCGATTGCCTCTAGACCTATGAACAAATAACACCGTTTGAAGCCCTTCTAATAGCCCGGTAGGGTGGTAGCGTGCGAGGCAGCAGATTGTGAGGAGGGCTCGGCTCCCTTGGCATCTCCCTGAGCGCTCTTGTCTAGTCTACACAGATGATTGTTTCAATAATGCGATCATGTTGAGATGTGCATGTGTCTAGTGTCAGTGTGGAGTTGCGTTGAAATGGAACAGTGCTGGTAGGATATGCCATTGTTTAGGCGGGCGGTTCATGCAGGTTCTCGTAGCTAGGCCACCCCTGGCCATCTTGCACTGAATGTCAAAGTGAAGAAATTCTGCGATGCTGAAGGATAAAGGGGATCATGGCCATTAGCTTGCCAATGGAATCGGGATATGAAATTAGCAATAGAACGCAACACGGTGTTATAATTGCAACTGCTCCATCCGCCCGCCACCCTCTTCACCCGTTCTATTCATTTCCGAGCATAGCATGTTCTTCAGCGAAGCTGCTACGCGTCGTCGTTTTAATCACGCGCTACCAGAAAGCATTTGGCAATTCTTAAGGGTAAGTTCCATGCAACTTCGTTTTGACAACTTAATGTTTTCCGATCCAAACATTTGGCGGGCGACGGGCAGCTGCTCGCACCCGCCTTTGCAGGGCCCCTCCCGCTGCTTCTAGCAAAATAAAAGCGGTAATGCAAGGTCTTATATAATACTTTAAGAGAGGGAAGCCGCTGCACAGCTTCCTCACATCTTACGGTCGTCGAAACGATTCGAAACTCTGTTCTACTTGTACTCCAATAGTCCGGTGCCCGCTACGCAGTGATAGACCGTCAGCAGCTCTTACTGGACCTCCTGAATCTTTTGGAGAAGCTATTTCTCATTTAGACGTGAGTGCCATTGTGCTCCATGTCGCGTGCATACGGCGTGACGTGGCGTGATCAAGTCCCTTAGCCGACCAACATTGGCCTGGCCGTATTGCCGAGGACCAAACCACCACCCTAGTGAACGCCGGCAACTCTAAGGCGTCTATTTACCATGTCCTATATGAATGTGTTGACTCCTCCAGCTGAAATGCCAGTTTCCCCCCATCCCTCCACCTCGTTTGCATCCGTATCAGGTCATGGTGCGGTTGAGCAGTCGAGCCGTCTTTCCAGACGCCGTCGAGCTGCCTACATTGCGCGTCGCACTTGGCGAACGTTTTGCCGACAAGCTCTGGGCCCTCCCGGAGGCGCAGGCACTAGTACAAAAGGCAAAAGAGACGGTCTTCATCAATGGCATCAAGTGCAACACCTTAGACCCCTTGTACTACGGTATCTACAACCTGCAGGACTGCATGTACCTGGCCAGTGCTACGGTAGGCTGGCCCTGTCACGCTGTTTCGATTGAGTGAGGCTATGCCGAGCAGATCATTACTAGTATTAGTACTATTAGGAGTAGGAGTAGTAGTCGGGCCCTAAGGTGAACCCCGTACCAGAGCTCACAGTTTGTAGGTGGCGGCGAACTGCGGCGAAGCGCTGCTGACCTGCTGCTCCCGATACCTCTCCTTACCCATGTTTATTTTCTTTCCGTTGCAGGACAACTTTAATAAAATCCAGGACAACCCCAATAACAGCGTGATCCTCAAGCAGTACTATCAGGGCAAGGTCCAAAGCTACACCGCATTAACAAAGGACACGTATAGCGCTTGGCACATCAACGAGGCTGTGGACGAACAGTACGGTGCTATAAGGCTAAGCCCCGCAGCACGTGATTACATCGCCTTCGAGAAATCTGTAGTCACAAATGACGCCGACAAACCCATCTACTTTGCCCTGGCCAACTACCCTTGCTACCGCCTGTGGCCCGAGATGTGCGAGTACCTGATACAGGAGCTAGCCGGCACCCCTACCGTGTACCAGACATGGATAGATTATAACAAGGACTTCAGAAGCGCAGAGAAGCTGGCCAACCTTTTGGAGTCCCAGTGTTCCGACTTCGAGTGGGAACGTGCGAAAGAAGTGTTCCTTGAGGCGCTTAATTTTGAGGTGAAATTCTTCAACGAATTCATGAATGATTTTTAAATTGTGGAGCTTGCCTCCATCATTGAGCAACTACTGCGGAATTTTCCGTTGATCGTGGAAACGAAGGCTTGCGGCTGTTGCCATCAGCCAAGCGCGCGATGCGTGACATTTGGCGCCGTTTTCCGGCGGCCTCTCCAGATGGCAGTTAGCTGGTAGGTCTTGAATGGAGCTCCATATTGTTATCTTCAATTCATTTCTTATGTCGGACGCCCTGTGTCGCCTAGAGATCTGGTCGCTTTTGCTGTTGCGGGTCGGTGCGCTGGTCGCTGTCACCTTACGTGTGTGCGCTAGAGTGCGCTTTACATGAGCGCAGGGAGTCCCCCGCTGCCCATACAAGTCCAGGGGCTTTTCCAATGCTCGTACGTTCCGTTGGCACTGTGTCGAACGAAATCATACTTTGCATAGATCCGATTTATTAAGTTTATTCCATGCCGGCATTCGACCTGCCTCCGCGGCGGGCTGCTGAACTCGAGACGACTGCTTCTTCTGTCCATAGCTGTCTGAAACTAGTAGCATTCCATTGTAAGGACTCCTGCCATTCTCATCTCTCTGTATCGGGATCGGAAACACATTTCAGACTCGATGAATGATTGAATACATAAATGATCACCAAAAAGTCCCAAGGCCTGTTCATAGGGATCCCACCAGAGCACCAGCAGGCACCCCACCACGCACCAAGACAGCCAAACACCTGCGGCTGCCCCACCCGAAGGGGCAGCTCTGAATAATAACCGCACGACGGTACATATCTTTAAAGTCTACTCTGGCGGCTCCACACTACGACCCCAAGTCCCGACGCAGCACCTCCAGCACCGCACCGGTGCATGTCAGCAAGACAACTGCGAGGGGCCATGAGCTCCATAATCAGCGTAGCAAACCAAATACACATGCATGTATACACACGCTTAAAAAAATATACACACACAGAGAGAGAGAGAGAGAGAGAGAGAGAGAGAGAGAGAGAAAAGGGCCGGATTGCGCTGCGAGGCCCCCCCTTCCTTTCTACTTGTTCTTGTTTGTGACAGCTGTGCCTCCTTTCCCACCCGCTCCCAACTTTTTCGCAAGCTGTTCTCGGAGGAACTTGTGTTTGAGCTCCTCGCGTCGCAGTCGCTCCGCCTCCTCCTTGCGCGTCTTGAGCGCCTCAGCGCGCTGCCTCTCCTCCCGCGTTTGCTGCCCTAGGGAAAGCAGCTCCTGCGGTGTTGCGGGACATCACCATCACCACATCATCGCCATCACAACACCGCCATCACCACATCATCGCCATCACAACACCATCGCGATGTCTTATTTAGAAATCAATATCTGGTAATGTAAGGTACGAGCAGCTACCCGCGAAAGCCTCATGAGGAATGACAACATTATATGATGCGTGGAACAGGGGGGCATATCTTCACCCGTGGCAGCTACCCTGCGAAACCCTGCCTTCCCCGGTATTTCGGGGCACCCTCATCTGGTCACCCTAGTCAACTTCTCAGTGGATCGCTTAGGTTCCACACCCACCACCGGGATCCAACGGAATCTGCCGGGTCGACAGCGGCCCAACTCCATTCCTGGTCAGCTCGCGAGTCGACTTTATCTCATGTCACCACCGTCCATAGACTAGTGGACCTTTACCTTCCACCAACGGAAAGATTTTCGACACTGACAGGTCTCGATCCCGGGACCTCCCCGGGGGCAATGGTCGTGCCTTACCAGTAGTACCTAACCTAGTAATAATTGTATGTATACATGATTCTCCGGCCTGTCCACCCGCCGTCCGTCTCGTAGACAGATGGAGTGAACCCCGATCAGCTGCAGCGACCACAGCGCCGTGTGCTTTGGCTCGGCCCGCCCACCTCTTTCTGCTTGCGCCTCCGCGCCTCCGCTTCCTCGTCCGCAAGTGCCTGGTCCTGCTCCCGCTCCCAAGCGCGTCGATCGCGCTCCCGCTGCATATCCGCCGAAAGCATTCCGCCTGTAGAACGGCACGCCCGTTTATGCCGTACGCTCGTTGCCACAACATGGGTGAGGTTTATTCACCACAGGATGCAATGTGATGCACCTGTGATGACTCAGTTAAGACTCTCCTCCTTTATTTAAACACACGTAGGAAAAAGCGCGCACGCTGTCCCCACGACCTGCCTACTCCAACACCCCCGCATGGCCCGGACCATCCACCCGCCCACAGCTGCCGTCCTTCTCCTGCTCTCCATTCTTCCCTCCCTCATCCTTCCCCCTTCGGATCGTGAAAACAGCCGAAGGGAAAACCGGAGAACCGAAACGGCGGTCCCGGTCCCGGTCCAGGGGAAGCGTGTGGGCTCAAGCGAGTGAGTGAGTATGGGGCCGGGCCCGGGGCCCCCACATCACTTCCCTTGACGCCGGCCCCACACCTCATCTCACTCGGGTCACTTACCCGATCCCGACACCGCCTCAAGCATGCTGTCCAGCGGGCCGTCGCTTCTGGACCTGCCTGACGGGCCCTCCTCGCCCTTTCGCAGAAAGTCCACCTCGTACTGGTCTTCATCGTCCTCAACCTCGCCACGAGCTGCAAGAATGGTGTGTTGGAGCCATTGCGGCGTAAGACAGGGGGAAAGGATGCAATTGAAAGGTATTTGTGCGCGGGAGCGTGGGAGAGAAGGTGCGGCGCAACCTGCCAGCTTGTGCTAGAATTGGGTGGGGGCCATTTTTGGAAGACACGCCTGAGGGAACCCCGGCCTCCGACGTGCTCTTACCAAGTTTCTCGTATAGCTGCGCCTTGCGCTCTAGGGCAGCATAACATTCCCCGATGCGGTCGGCCGTGCTCTGTAGTACGGGGCAAGCCGGCGTGACAAAGACTATAAACCCATATTCACATGTAAGCAATGTCTTGTCAATCGTCTTGTCTTGGATACGCGTACCTTGACTTCAAGCCTGTCTTTCTTGTCACGCTCTTCCACACCGGCGTTGCGACCTTTCATGAGAGCGGCAACATTGAGACCTGACGTTCGCCGGTCGGGCAATTCCACACCGCTTGAGCGAAGCTTTGCATTTTCTTGTGCTCGATAAAGCTGTGCTTGGAGTTCGAGGATGCTGCTGCCGCTGACGCCTTCGATGTCCTGCTTTTTGCGTGGGAGCGCCCCACTGCTGGCAAGCCATCCTAAATTTCCAACTCTTTCCTCATCCCTGGGACGCTTTCCGGAAGTTGTTGCGTCGCTCATGTTTCCACGACGGTCTCCAGCGCGTAACGGCTAGGTTGAAATGGCTTCAGCAGGGCAGTGAATTTAATGCTTGGTCATTAAACTTTATACTTGTTTGTACTTGTGCACAGTATGTATAGCGTCATGGGAACTTCGCCATAAATTATGCGACCCTTGGGACAAGGACAATAGGAATTCGGTCCCTGTTGTTGTACAGGGATCCACTTCCAGAGCGATAACCAGTTTTTAGCACTGTATTTCCATGGGTTGGGATGACAGCATTCCACATGGCAGTTAGTATACAGTTTTCCTTACAACCAACCATGCAACTGCTCGCTCGGGGTTTCAGAAATCAGGGTGCCTCCCCCGCCCCTTCCCCTGCCACCGAGATTACCTTCAATACCCACATTCGTAATTACACATCACCCCCAGTACATCGCAATGAAAAGCACTACTGCAAATAAAGCATCCAATAAACATCCAGCCCAGTCAGCAGGCATCGTGCGCCCCCCCACTCCACTTCCCACACACGCGCACACCATGCATGACTCGGATTCACATCTGGGCCGAGGCCCCGGCAGCTGCCCACCACAGCTGCCAAATTCCGCCACGACGTGGCCGGCACGCGAGGAATATCGGGTGCACACACAGAGGTGTCTCCCACACAGGAATGATGGCGGGAAGGACTCATCCTGCACGCCGCCGGGGAAATCAAATCGAATCACAAAGTGCGCCTGCTGCTGCTGCTGCTGCTGCTGCTGCTGCTTTGGTGGGTCGATGGACGAACACCGCATCCTCTCCACCTGCCTCCTGCCAGTTTATTTGCTGCCTCCGCAGGTATTACTAAGAAAACAGGATTTACAGCCGCCAGCCTTTTCGGGGACAGCCTCCCAGCGCGTGGGTGCTTCACTCCACACAGCGCAACCATACATACAACCCCACATACATACATACATGCATACATACATACGTAAGCTACATCAGCTCCTCGCGCTGCGTGTTTCCATAGAGGAGGACTCCTTAACAGACGACATACACAAGGTGGCCACCGTGATGACGAGGCCATTCCCTCAAGCTCAAGAACAGCTGCGCACACTAAGGAGATGCCATCCATTTACATGAAGTGGGATCAGCTCGCCACATCTCTTTTTAATTACTATTGTTGAGCCCGCAAGGCTCAGTGAAAAGTGAGCGCAAGTGGCCGCACGCAAACCGCAACAGCTGCACGCGTGCGCGCGCGCATGTGTGTATGTGTGTGTATGTGTGTGTTGTTTGAGACTGTGTGTTTTTTGGGGTGGGGGGTGTTAGCATGGTGTTCAGGCAACACGCAAACGTACATATGTGTGTATATCCAGTCAAAGGACGAACGTCCGGGCACGACAAATTCAACCCTGGGATGCCAGAATCGATTGTTTCTACCCCCTATTGCAGGGGGGTTGCAACCCCAGGGGAAACCCCCTCAGGTTGTACGGGGATGCGCACCCCCCTACCCGCCCGATGGACGGCGAAGGGGGATCTCGATCAAGGTGGCATGAGAGCCGATCACGAGCTTTAGAGCGAAAGGCGCCGCCGCCGTTGATTCAGTGCGGCAGATTCGTCTGGGTGCTGTTGGTGGCGGCCGGGGCCACTGAACCCCCAGTCCATACATGCTCCAGAACCAAAGCAACCTTGTTCAGGAAAATGGAATTCCCCTCTTATCATGCCCAAAATATGCCCCCTCAACATCAACAACAACACAACAACAACAATCAACCCCGATCGGATCGTCTCCCCGGCCCTCAACATATCTCTCCCACAAGAGGCCACCCAAACAGAAATTTCCCCCCAAGCCCTACCCCCATGCCACCACTTCATCTGTGACCTCAAACTTCAAAATCGACAGCGCAACGCCCGTCCTCGCTGTGTGTGTGTGATGACGGACCGTATTTCTTCCGCCAAGCCACGTACTGCCTCTCTGTCTGAACTCCTGCCTCCTACCGCGGCCGCGGCCGCCGCGACTCCTTCCGCGACACGGCTCCGCTGCAGACCCGCCCGCCCGCCAGCACTCACCGCAGCCGGTACTTGCTCCGGCCCCGACCTGCCCTCTTCTGTCCTCCCCTGCCTGCATACCTGCAGCGGCTCGAACTGTACACTGTGCGCACCGAAACACACAGGCATACAGACAAGCACAAGCACACTTTCACCACCAGTCTGTCATCCATCAAGGCCTTGTCGCCATTCCATTTCATCTAAACAACAGAAAGCAAGCAACGATCACACGCGCACACCACTACCTTCACAACCACAGCCCTCCAATCACAGCGGCCGCATGACGGGCTGGGAAAGGGAGGGTGCAGCAGCAGCTGCCGCCGCCGTCGCCGCCGGCACCACCGCCGCCGCCGCCGCCGCCGCCGCGCCCGCCGTCTCCCCCTCCCCTGCCCCCGCCCCGCGCCTAAACAGAAACAGCGCCCCCCCAGAGCCCCTGCCGATCCGCATGTCCTCATCCAGGTACGTCGTACACCACTCGCTGCGGCTCCGGAGCACCTCCGGCACCGGAACCACCACCTCCGGCAGCAGCTCCTCCACGGGCAGCCCCCACAATTCCACGGGCCGCACACAGAACGACTCAAACTCCGCGGCTGCGCACAGCCCACCGCCGTTGTCCACCCACCGGCCCCGCACACACACGCGCCAGCTACCCAGAGGGCCGAACCGGAACACGGCGCTGTTCTCGGTCAGGATGCATCCGGGGGATGACGGGGACCCAGCGGCGACGGAGCCACTGCCGCCACGGCTGCCGCCGCTGGCGGCTACTGCCTGCAGCTGTTGCTTCTGCTTTTGTTGCTCGTCCAGCGTCAGGCGCTGCACCACGTGTGTCATTCCGAAGCCGGGGAGGCTGTCGGCGATTTGGAGGATCTGGGCCAGTAGGTTGGGGCCGCCGCCCGCCGCCTGTACGGTGGTGGTGATGGTAGGGGGTTGGGGGGACGGAGGAAGGAGGGGAGAAGCAGTACGTTTTTTCCCAACCTAGGAGAACGGAAGGGGCCGAAACGCACGCAGGAACACATGTACGTGCATGTACGGCATCTCAATGATGCCGATACCCCTGTGTAGCTGCCGGACTATGAACCACGTGTCTGTCTCTGCGTGCCGCACCGATGTACTACCCGAGGTGGCGGCGGCGGCGGCCGCTCCTACCCTACTCAACCCCTGCTTGATCGTCACATCGATAACCTGATGCAAACAAATATACAGACAGACAGACAGCAATAGGGCCCTCCCCTCCCTTCCCGGCCCCCTGTAGGGGGGCCCCTGCTTACCGGTACGGTGGATGCCCCCGAGCTGGTGGAGGCGTTGGAGGCGTACACCAGCCTCCACTCCCCAAGCAGCAGGGGGTCCACCCGGGGGGCGGGGGAGCCCACGGTGGGCCGCCTGGGGGCGGAGGGGGGTGGCGTGGTGGTGGTTGGCTGGATGGGGAGAAAACACACTTCGATGGTGGGAGCGCCGTGAGCCTCATCCCTGGGCCCGCCTCACCTGGCCACATCCACTACCGTGTTCAGCGGCTTGTCGGTGGGGGACAGCGCCTCCAGCTGCGCCAGCAGCCCGTCCACCTCCTCCCGCAGCGGCTCTCCGCCGGGCACCACACTGCTCACGGGGCCCAGGGCCAGACACACCCATCGCAACCGGTCCTTGATGGTGGCGCGGAGACGGGCGCGGTCCTTAGAGACACGCCGGTCTTCGGAGGCGCGAGCCAGCTCAGCAAGCTTGGGGTCGAGGGAGGGTGATGAGGCGCCGACCGCTGCGGCCGCGACGGCGGCAGCCGCCAGGGCGGCAGTGGTGTCCAGCAGGCCGCCGCCGCCGCCACCGGTGGTGGCGGTGGCGGCTCCGCCGACTGGTACGGCGTCCTGGGTCCTACGAAAGGCCTCCCAGGACTCGGCCACTGTGGGCGCCCGTGGTGGTGGCGGCGGCGGCGGTGGTGGTGGCGGTGGGGCTGTCGGCTGTGTGCTCTGATTCGCGACCTGGTTTTGCGACCCGCCCAGTGCCCACCAGTCGCCGCGGCCGGCCGACCAGCCGCCGTTACCAAGACCGCCACTGCTACTGCCGACGGCGCCGCCGCCGGAGGCCCCCCGTGACTGGGCGGTGCCGCTGGGGAAGGAGGGCGATGTGAACAGCGCCGAGCCGGCAGGTGCAGCTGCGGGGCGATGCGGGCAAGGCGGTGTCAGTGGGGCCGACAGAGGGCTCCTGAAGGTTCTACAGGCTGGAGGGGGGTGAGGGCTATAATGCCGAATAACGGCGCCCTACTGAGAGTGACGGAGTAGCAGTAGCAGTACGGCCCGACTGCTGTTGCTACAGCTTACAAGGGGTTTGCGAAAGCTTAAAGGGGGACATTTGTTGCAGGCAACAAAATATGCCGGCCCACAGCCGTACAAGTTGTTGGTGCCGTACCTGTGGCCGGGCTGGCGGCCGCACCGGTGAGTGTCGCCCAGCCGTTGCCAAAGCCTCCACCCCCGCTGCGCCGCCGTACGTCGCTCTTGCCGGCAGCATCTCCCACATTCGCGCCAGCGGCCGGTGCGGCCTGCGTCTCAACGAGCGCCGTGTACGGATCGCTGGACGGCAGGGCCTCTGGCGGCAGCCAGGAGTCCCCAGGCCCCGCATCGCGGTCCTTACCAGACGACCTGTTGCTGTTGGGACCGACGGGAGATTGCTGCAGCGGCGGCGGCTGACCGCTAGTGGCAGTAGCGCTGCCGCCGCCGCCGCCGTTGGCGGCGATGGCGGCAAAAGCCGCCGCCGCCGCCGCGGCGGCTGCCTGGCCGTTGCTGCTTCCGCTGCTGCTGGAAGCGATGGCGTTGAAAGCGGCCGCCGCAGCGGGGTTGGTGACGGTGGGAGGTGCAGGCGTGCCGGTAGGTTCGGACCTGCCGCCGCCGCCGCCACCGCCGCCGCCGGTCGCGGCCTTCCCACCAGCACCCGAGCCGCCGGCGCCGCCCTGCCCCAGCGGGGTCCCCAGCAGCCGCATCTTGGTGGGCGCCAGCAGCTGGGGGGGAAGGCGGGTGCGCATGACGAACAACACCCCCGCCACGGCGGCGATGTAGGCGATGAGGCGGCCGATGGGAGGTGCCCCGGTCCAGGCCTACGAGGGAGTGAGGGAGTGGGGGGAAAAGGGGCATCATCGCCGCCATCATGAGGTGGTGAGACAAGAAGCGAAGGGGTTTCAGGGTTTAGGGTTAAGGTTCCCATGTTCTAGAAGGCGTGTGTGGTGGTGTGGTGGTGTGATGGTGTGGTGGTCTGGTGGTGTGGTGGTGTTCGTGAGCAGCGGTTATCCTGGGTGGCGGGTGGAAGGCTGGGGAGATGGAGGTTGGGGAGATGGAGGAGAGAGGCGTCTGAGGACGACTTGAGGACGTAATCATCCGGATCCGGATCAAGGCTGTAGCAGTGAGGGGTGGTCAGAGCGAAAGGGGGGTCAGTGAGGGAAGGTCAGCGGAAAGAGGTGCAGGAGTTACGAGTTCTATGTGCATGTGGGGGGGGAGGGGGGACGTCCGTAAAGACCGGGGCGGTCATGGACGACAGCTTCTGTCGGCGGGGAGGCAGTAATGCCCCCGGGTGATGCGAAAGAATGTTTACGGGGTGCAGGAAGAGCAGGTGTGTGTGTGTGTGTGTCTCAGCCCGGAAGGCACCCCCCACATCCCCGTACCCCACTCACCACGGCCATGCTGGTCACCAGGCTGTCCCCCAGCTGCTTAATACCTCCGAGGAACTCCCGCAGGCCGCTGTCCACCACCACCGCCTGATACACCCCGTCAAGGACACGGACAAGAGGGTCGCGGTACTTCTCAGCGCCGTACAGCTGCTCAGGACGAACGTACGGCACCAGGTCGACGACAGCTGAGGCGGAGGCGGAGACAGCCGGATCGGTGGCGGCCCCTGCCGCCGTCGCCGCCGCTGTTGTTGTTGTTGGCGGCGGCAGTGGTCTCCTGGTTGCCGCCACTGCCAGTCTGTCCGCCATGGTGGTGAGCTGGCTCAGCACCTGCCCCATGGCGGCCTTCTCATCGGCGTCGGCCAGTGTGGAGTACTGCCGGTTCACCTGAGGGGGATGACGGGGAGGGGGAGGGGAAGGGGGAAGGGGGGGATCATCGGGGGAAATATCACTGAGTGGAGACACGGTACCCCCCGTCGTGAGCGGACGGCATGGAGGGGGTGCAGGGAGGAGAAGGAGGAGGAGGAGACGAACCACGAACGAGTGAAGCTGATGAGGAGAAGAAGGGGGAGGGGGAGGAAAGACGAACCACAGGGGGAGGGGGAAGATGACCATGAACAGATCTCCCCCATTCCGCGGCGGAAGGAGTGAACAAATCCCCTCCTCCCCGCACCGCCCCCACGCACCTGCTGCAGTTGCTGTATGAGCAGTCTCAACGAGTTGGCTGCGGCCCTCAGCTGCTCCTGCTGCTGCTCCAGGGTGAGAACCAGGGTACGGTCCTCGAGTACCCTGCCGTACGCGTCAAAGACGTACGGCTTGGGGTTGTTGTTGATTAGCAGGTTGTTGACCCAGTCCAGGATGCCCGTGAGCTGCTCAGCGTGGGGGCCCGGGCGGTGTGGGGGTTGATCTTATGTGAGAAACAGTCTCAGAATGTGTCCCCATACGAGCACCGACTTGCATGTATGTATGTATGTATGTATGTATGTATGTATGTATGTATGTATGTATGTATGTATGTATGTATGTATGTATGTATGTATGTATGTATGTATGTATGTATGTATGTATGTATGTATGTATGTATGTATGTATGCATGTGTGTATGTATGTATGTATGTATGTATGTATGCATGTGTGTATGTATGTATGTAACTAGATGTGTGAGAGGCACATGCCGCAGATCTTGGGAGGTGAGGAGGCCCGGAGGGAGGGTTCAAGCGACGGGGAGAGCGGGAGGGGGCCGGCGGGCTTGCGAAGCAGAGACAAGGCCACGGCGTCTCCACAGCCGCCATCATCACTATCACCAGTATTACCACCACGACCAACACCACGGTGTCGTACATGCCGTACCCGGGCTGTCAACTTCTTTCCGGCTTTGCGTTTCTCCCCCAAATGTCTGGTGTGTCATACTCCCTAAGCTCCGTGCCAGCCCCCTCCGCCCCCTCCGCCCACCCAGCCACCAACCTGCTCCAAAATGTAGTTATGGTACACGACACCATCCTCCCCGGGAGAAGCCCCTCCGCCCTCCGCCACCCCGTTGCCGACCGCCGCCGCCGCCGCCCCCATAAGCCCCTCCTGCTGCAGCTGCTGCTGGCTGTAGCCATCGATGTAGTCCTGCAGCTTGCCTATAGCCGCGCTGATGCGCGCATCGGTTTCGGGGCCGTACTGATCCTTGTACTGCGACAGGAACAGCTGGAGCTGCCGTGCGGCGGCCACAGGATCGTCCTGTACGGCACCGTGCCCCGTCAGCACCTGCTCCGCCAGGGCCGCCATGGGCTGGGCTCCGGAACCGGAGGTTGCGGCTGCCGAGGAGGCCATTTGTGGCGCCGCGAAGGGACCCGGGGGAACGGGCGTCGGGGTTGTAGCGGTGGCTGTAGCAGCAGCAGCAGCAGCAGCAGCTGCGCTCGGCCCAGCGGCCGAGGAAGAGGCAGCGACGCCTAGAGCCCCCACGGCTAGGGGTCGTGCCGTCGAGGTCGTTGCCGCTGCCCCTGCCGCGGAAGTTGCAGGACGGAGCTGTGGGACGAGGTTGGGCAGGGGACAGGCGCACAGCAATCAGTGGTAATAGTTCTTAATGATTTGTTTTTTTTGTTAATTGGCAGAATTTGCATTCCCTTCTCCCCTTCTCAAACTCCCCCGTTGCAAAAGGGCCCGACATTGGTAGTGGCACATCGCGCGGCAACTCGCCTTTACGGTGTTGAAATCAAAGACGCTCCGAAAGACGGCCCCGAAGTCCATTCCCGCATCGGTGTCTCGCTGCAAGTCATTTGCCTTTTGTGTATGTTGCTTGCTCTTGATTTCCGTGTCACTCTGGTGGGTGGTGGGGACATGTGGGAAGTGTGAGATGGCGTGCCTTGTGAGCAGAGCTGGATAAGTCCATGGGACCACAAGCTCCACCATTTTGTGCATTAGAAGTTGGTTGGGCAAGCTAATATAGCACAAGGGTGTGGACTGTAAATAGCTTATGCGTCCAGGCATAGTACAACCCTCAACCTTAACCTACGAGTTACTTCCTACAACAGCATTGCGTATAATCACAGGATACTAAGTGAACATATTGAGGAGGCACAGCGTTATGTTTATACTTGAGCCATCGCCCTATCGGCAGAGCACACCGCTTCAGCAACGCTGGGCAGCAGTACCAAGGCATTGCCACCAACTACGCAAACTAAAAAGCAACGCAGGGCTTATTTGGCAACGCTAGATCGATTCTTCTTCATGTACAGACAGGAAACACGGAAAGAAGCACGGATGGAATTCGGGACATAGTACAGCGTAGAGCTAACCTGATAAGCGCGCACCGCGCCGTAATGTAGCTGAGGGCGTCCGCCGGTATGGTGAATACGGAGCCGCAGAGCCTGACTTTTGCGAACTGAGGATAGTGAAACAGCCTGTGGCGTGCCTGACCCCGGCGCCAGGCCAGAAGTCCCAAGCGGTACGTGTAAATACATCAGAGCGTAATGTCCAAGATCTTGTCCAACAAGCCCTATTACTATCTGCGTCGGCCCACTGCCTTGACCATTGGGTGCCTGTGGTCCAGTTATCGCAGCAACAAATTCCAAGTGCGTTCTACTATCTGAACATGTATCCTTCAGGCCATCATTACCGAAGAAACCTTGAGATGGAGGAAGCCACTGTACGGATGGTTAAAACATAAAGTTGCGGAGTACAACTGTTACAACGTGTCACTTCGGCAATTGCGGACTTCCGCATTTTTACGCTCAAAATGATTAAAATGATAATGTTTCAATGTAGGAGCTTCTGGATCATGGCCGCGACGTTCGGTGCAAAGAAAGCCAGCGACAGGGTACCTGCGATGCATTTGGTCGTAGATGCCCCAGAGGGAAGGGAGAGAGATGGAATACGTAAGTTTCTTTTCATCCATATCTGAAACGAACGTCTCCGCATGGAATGGACATAACCGATAGGTTATAGCAGCCAATTCGACTAAACGCATAATTCCCCTCTTCTTTCCGATGGCCATCACATGTATTCGCGCTACAAACAGGAAAAGCTTCGTGCATCAATGGTAGGCAGCACTCAGTTGAAATCCCGCAAAGCTCCTCACCATCCCGGGTTGTAAGGGAAAACGGCGCTCCTGAGAACCAACACACCGAGTCTGTTTTGCCTTTGCCTTTCCCTAAGAAGAAACACAAGAAACACAAGCTGTACAAAGGAGCATTTTTATGCACTCCGGCAATCGCATCCCCCTCCTAGCCGCAAGAGCGGCCCACAGAGCGGCCGCACAGCTTCCCCCTTCTCTAGGGTAACCCTCGTCACCCGAACCCTGCCATCGCATCTGTCCATCTACCGGATTACGCCACACAGGAACGACACACACCACCACACCACACACCGCCACTATTAGATGGCACGCGGAATCCCGCTCATCCCGGCTCCTGCAGCCTCCGCCCTCCCTTTCACCTCGCACCTTCCCTACCCCGCACCCGTCTGCACATGAACCCCCAAGAGACCACCAAATGGTCACTGTATAGAGAGCTATTTAGGCAACCCCGGGAGAAACGCATAAGGGCGTCTCCGCGTTACTGAACTGTTAGCGGGAAGGCACTGGGAAGGAAGGTCACAACTGGATACGCCACAAGCCACAAGAAACTGTGTTTGTTGTCGTACCATGTGCCGTATTCGACGCGTACATGTGTATGTGTCCACACGCAGCCGCGGCCTCCTTCCCCCTGGAGGCGCAGTGCTACTCCGAGAGTCACGAGATGCGCGAGCGGTGAAGGGGATCAGCTCCCCGGCCACCCCTCCCTCCCTCCCTCCCTCCCCCCCCCCAGATGCGACGCACGCCCCGGCAAACCCGACGACCCCGGGAGGTCCCCTACCTAAACTGGCCCGATTCCCGTACACGCTGTCGTACCTCTCGCCAGGTAGACCTGCCCGTCCAATGCGACTAGAAGCCTCCGAGAGGAGGAGGGGTTGCTCGCCACCACCAGCACCCGGTCATCGCCTCCTAATGCGCCCTCCTCCTCCTCCTCCTCCTCCTCCTGCTGCCCTGGGGGCCGCTTCATCTGGCACCCCCCTCCGGGTGATCGTCCCATGCTGACCAGCCGCTGCCGTACCTGCGGCAGGTCCGGGTGGCGCTCCAGAACCAGCTCATTAACTCCTGCAGGGGCGGGTGCGAAAGGGCGAGTTTCAGGAACAGGGGGGGGATGAGTCTCCGGGCCGGCGGCGTCAGGTGGCGTCAGGTTCACAACCGCACCGTAGCGCACCGTACTGCACTGTCGGGGTGGGTTGTGTCGCCATGACGCTCGGTCTTTCAGAAGTCCGACGCGCGACCCCGCCTCCTCCTCCTCCTTCTCCCTTCTCTCCAGCATGCTCAGAGCTCATCCACACACCCCGTTCCCTCAGCCTCCCCCCTTCCCGCAGCACCCGTTGTACTGCCGTACTACTTATTGCCTCTCCTGCCCCCGGCGGCCCCCCAGCCCCACCCAGCAGCCGCATGTCGTCCGCGAAAGCCACCCCGGCCCCCCCGGGCGCCTGGCCATCGCGGTGGCGCAGCAGCTCCCACAGCTCCCAGGGCAGATCCACGCCCAGACGCTGCTCGCCGTGGGACAGGGCGGAGGGATCGGCACCTGCGGGCGGGGGGGAGAGGGGTGCAAGGTGCGGATTCGCCGAAGTGCAATACCTCACAAGTCACCTTGCCCTGGGGGGAAAGTGCCATATACCTCAAGCAAGACAGGCACGGCCAGCAGCTGTTGGAAGTTCAACAAACGTCGAACAGTCCACCAGAACGTGGTGGTCCATTGGTCTGTTGAAGTGGTCAGCCGTCCGGAGCTCGGTGCGGTGCGGGGGGTGCGGTGCGGGGGGTGCAGCGCTGTGCTGTAAGGGAGATGCGGGGACTTGGGGGGCCGGGATGGAATGCACATACACATACGCATGCACAAGCGTATGTCGTACCCGTCCAGTAAAATCCGCCGGGGCGGCTCTCGCCCGGGCGGGAGGTCCCCCCCAAGCCCACAGCCCTTCCCCCCCCCTTTATTACCCACAACCCCTCACCCGGCATGAGCGCCATGCTATTGGGTCGGGACAGGAAGGCCGCGTATAACCGAAAGAAGCGCCTGGGGGGGTGGGGAAGAGGGTGGGGAAGAGTGTGGGGAAGAGTGTGGGGAAGAGTGT